AGTTTTAAGGTAAGATATTTATATTTGTGATTGTCTTATAGAGAAAAGAATCTTCGATCATGAAAACAAATTAGATCCAAGACTTATTTTTAAAATATTTTCTTAGTTATCTAGAAAAATCAAGGAATACAAATTTTATTACCGTCATCATACAAGGAATACAAATCTAGTAATGTAGTATTCTTTAAATTTAAAAATAATAAAATTAGTGAGAGTGAAAAACTTAAAAAATTTAATTTTACTATAGAGGAGATATAAATTGATACTCCTTTTCCCTTTTTTATTTGTGAGGTTGTTGTTTCTTAAATAAGTAAATGAATTGAATAAATAATAAATTAATATTAATAAACTCATAAATAATATTGATGTCGTGATTAATGATATTGTAGAACAACTATAATCGATGGTCTCGCCTTTTCCTATTTGGGCCCATTATCATGTCAATACCAAATATTGTGCTTAATCAATTAATTAAATCATTAACTTCGTTTAACCTAAGTCATTGATTAAAATATCTAAGATAAAATTAATAATAATAAATTTATCAAATCCTTATAAGTCAATCTTATTATTGTCTACTTCTAATGTGAGACTAATCGACGTGTTATAATTTTTTTTTTCATGTGCATCAATAAATCGAGTCAGAAGACTCGTCATGACGTAAAGATACCACTGGGTAACGATCTTTGATGATCATCAATATAACATGCATTATATTAAGATTTGGTTTAGACTATATCGATCTTTGATGATAATGTCAAATCGTTGAGTGAAAAAAAAAATTATAATAACCTAATTAGTCCCATATCAAAATTAAGCAAGATTAAGATTGACTTATAAAATTTTAATAAATATATTATTATTAATTTTAATTTATTTATTTTAATTAGTGATTTAAGTTAAACGAAGTTGATAAGTTAATTAGCATAACAAACTAATATTTGGTATCAAAATAGATATGTCTCATGCATCATATTAGGATTTAATTTTTTTGATACCTTGATCAAGAGCTTACATCAAATGAATGTGATAAACCAATCCATCTTTGTCGACATTTAAATAAATAAGATCTTCAACCTAATTAGATACATGTATTTGCACAGATCTGCATGGAATGGTGACGACCCAGCTGCTATCGAGCATGATCCTGAATTCATACCATCCATGGGAATATTTTACTGCACTTAAACTCCTTCCGAGATCACAACTTTACTTAAGACCAATCAAGAAATCATCTAACGCATCATTTTTGGATTTCTGCACCTTCTTTAATAGCTCATGGAACTGCAGCCAACATCTGTGGGCAGACCATGGAACCCAACCTCATGTTTAAGCGATCATGAAGTACTTTAGTAGCTTGACAACCCCGTGACAATGTGACTCCCAACTCTCGTCGTCAAACGACGTGGGAAGGTCAGCTTTTGTTAGCGTGCCGAGGCGCATCTTGTGGACCTTCCTTCGAGTCTATTCACAGCTAATGAGTGATATCTTAGTTCAACTGTGGCACTACTGGCTTCATCTGTAGCATCTGCTTACGCTCTATAAAGCTCTTCATCACAAGATCAACCAGCATTACCTATAGCTACACATGGCTTCTATCTCGCAGCTAATCACTACAAGCATCCCCACCACCTTTTCTCTCTCCTATTCATGCCCCTTCCCTCCGAGAACCACGGTATCGATCTCCGGCTTCAAACACCTCCACCACGTTTCCCCCATCTCATGCTCCACCAGAGACCACAACCAACCCCTCGTCGATCGCCGCCACGTCCTCGTCGGAATAGGCAGCCTCTACGGCGCCTCCGCTGCACTAACGTCCCTCCGCGAGGCCAGTGCGGCACCGATCGCGGCGCCCGACCTGTCCGCATGCGGGCTGGCTGACCTCCCTCCGGATGCCACTCCGACGAACTGCTGCCCGCCGTCCGCGGGAGACGCGACCGAGTTCGTCATTCCCGACCCGTCCTCGCCCTTGAGGGTGCGCCCGGCGGCCCACTCGGTCGACAAAGATTACATAGCTAAGTTCGCGAAGGGCGTCGCTCTCATGAAGGCGCTTCCGGCCGACGACCCCCGGAACTTCACTCAGCATGCCAACGTGCACTGCGCCTACTGCGACGGGGCGTACAGCCAAGTCGGCTTCCCGGACCTTGAGCTCCAGGTGCACAACTCATGGCTCTTCCTGCCATGGCACCGCTGCTACCTCTACTTCTTCGAGAGAATACTCGGGAAGTTGATCGGCGACGACAGCTTCGCGATTCCGTTCTGGAACTGGGACGCCCCTGACGGGATGCGATTGCCAGCGATGTACGTGGATCCCACGTCGCCGCTTTACGATCCCCTAAGGGATGCACAGCATCAGCCGCCGACGTTAGTGGATTTGGACTTCGGAGGGATCGATCCTTCTTCCAGTGATAAGCAGCAGATTGATCACAACCTCAAGGTTATGTACAGGCAGGTAATTAATGGACTCCAATACCACTGAATCAGTCATGCATTATGTTATTATCTGTACGAGCATCATAAAATAATGATTGATAGGCGACATCAGCCATAATTATCCTGCATTAATTGACGAATCTTGTAAACAATGTCATCTTGTTGGGCTTTCCATGGCTCATGGAGTTGATCGATGTGATTCTACGTCAATGATCGCTTGGAGAACGTAACTTAAGCTTGATGGGTCAAACTTCTTGTCTCGATGACGACAGAATACTGTCTTTTGATGCTTAGTTTTGTGTCATATTAACTGCAAGATTTTTCTGCAGATCGTCTCGAATGCACCGACACCGAGGCTCTTCTTCGGAAACCCCTACCGAGCCGGCGACAATCCGAACCCCGGTGGCGGCTCGCTTGAGAACGTCCCCCACGGACCGGTCCACGTCTGGACCGGCGACCGCAGCCAGTCGGAACTGGAGGACATGGGCAACCTGTACTCCGCCGCTCGCGACCCCGTCTTCTTTGCCCACCACTCCAACATCGACCGCATCTGGAACGTGTGGAAGGGTCTCGGTAGCCGGCGCAAGGACCTGGCCGACCCCGACTGGCTCGACGCCTCCTTCGTCTTCTACGACGAGAACGCCAACCTCGTCAAGATCCGAGTTCGCGACTGCATCGACTCAGACAAGCTACGCTACGAGTACCAGGACGTCGGTAACCCATGGCTCAACACACGCCCGACGGTGACGTCCGGAGTGAGGCCGAGAGTGGCCGGAGTGGCGCATGCAAACGTCGTGGAGCCGAAGTTTCCGATAAAGTTGGACTCAGTGGTGACTGCCAAGGTGAAGAGGCCAAAGGCGGCGAGGACCAAGGAGGAGAAGGAGGAGAAGGAGGAGGTGCTGGTGGTTGAAGGGATCGAGCTGGATCGAGACGTGCACGTCAAATTCGACGTGTTCGTGAACGTGACCGACCACGGGAAGGTCGGGCCGGGGGGCCGGGAGCTCGCCGGGAGCTTCGTGAACGTGCCTCACAGGCACAAGTGATATGACAAAAAATGGCAGACCCAGCTCCTGGCGACGTCACCCGCACGTGGACAGGCGCGGCGCCCCTGGAGGGCAATAAACGTGACGGTCTGTGCCCGGACGTCAGCCTCACTGAGCCCACAGCCCCCTCGGGTGACCCAGCACAACCGGACGAGACAGAAGCAGGTAACGGTTGAAGCTCGCCCATACCCTGCGATCCCTCGGTCTCCCACGCAGCCCCAGTGGCAATGTCAGACGCCACCAAAGGTACAGTCCTGCCCTACAGACAGCTACGTCGGGTAACATCAAACCTCCTCTATAAATACCCCGAAGCCCTGAACAAAAAGGGGATCACACACTGAACACACGGAGGTTTCTCCTCCTCCTAAACCCCCTCCACGTTGCTAACTTGATCGTCGGAGGGGTCGGGCCGAGCTCCCGGTCCGACCTGTGTGCAGGTGAGAGACGGTGTCGCCTCTTCCCGGTGCTGCGGCGGAGCTGCCTCCCGACCCGAGCTACCGACCCGACCCGCCGACCCGAGTTGCCGACCTGAACCACCGTGCTCGGCCGCCAGGAGACCCCGAGGAGCGCCCCCACAGAGATCACCGCCATTCGGACCCTGAACCAAGCCGCGACGGCCCCGACGCCATGGCTAAACAGTTACTTACCGTAACAACAAGCATGACAAGATGAGCAAGCAGCTGAAGACCAGGCTGCAGCTGGGCTTGACTGAGCTGTTGGAGGATCTCAAGGCTGATGGGAGCATCATGGTGACTTTGGTGCCGAGGCAGGGGAAGGGGAAGGTGAAGGTTGGCAGTCTCAAGATCGAGTTAGTTGATTGAGCATGGGAGACTTCCATTCCCGCGCGTCGTTAGGGTTTGGAATAAGGGCAACATGTTTACTGGGACACCTCCCAGAATAAGAGAGCTTTCACTTGTGTGACTTCAAAATCCTGGCCATCTTCTATGGATTGCGACGCAACCTGAATCTGAGCTTACACCGAGCTCAAGATGTGGCACAGCAGCCAAACCTGAATTCAGATTGCTATGCCAGATCGCATTCAAGCTCATTAGCTCACCCAGACCACCAAAATTTCCCTGATCACTATGGGTGATGAAAGATCAAGATGAATATATTTGTCAATCCCAGATAAGAACAGAACTAAAGCAAAGAGATATTGAAAGAACCAGTAATCATACTAGTGTCCTTGCTGGAAAAACGGGGAATCATGACTCAAAAAATTGGCAGTGCCTACCCAGAAGCTACCTTATGATTGGTAGAGAAAACCAGGAGCCTTCGGATGACAGCCTGAAAGCTCATACAATTAAGGCTCTCTGAAACAGAGTCACACAGATCTTATCAATTTCACTGATATTAGTAAAAGCAAATGAAGCCATAATCGATCAAAGGCTAATATGCTTGACTTTAGCAGCTAAACCATTCTTACCAATAGCAGATGCGTCAGTTGCAGATACCTAATCACTTAACTTCAATATTCATACTGTTCAGAAATAACTACCTGCAGCTACTTGGAAGAAAATTTTATTGACATTAAGCTCACCAAATTTCATTCATGATCCTCCTACTGAGATCATTAAATTTGTCATATCATATCAGATTACAATGTCCGAAGGTATAGTGTGAAAATTATTGAATCACAACTTGCTCAATTTCGTCCCAGCCGCGCAGCACAAGCTGTTTGAGATATAACAAGATATCTGCTGATGTTGATCTGAATTTTACACATAAAAGAAAAAAACATGATTCATGTTAACCTGTCGCATGCCCTGAATTACACATCCGTCATGCATGCTTCCGACATTAACTCATTCTGCCTTGGTCGGAATATGATTACCTCCGCTTGCAATCTTGTACAGATAGAATAGAGACATCATCGCACTGCAGATGGATAAGATATTAAGTGATTTAGGAGTTAAAGAACCACTTGCAAGTTATAAGTGCCTCAATTTCATTTACTACCGTTGAACCAAAAAGGAAAAAGATAAACATGCACCTTATTTCAGTAGCTGTAAGAGCAAAAGAGCCTCTTTTATCCATAGTTTCAGGAGGGGTAAACAAATAGGAAAAAACATACAATAACTCATGTAAAAGAGCATGAAATGCTATTATTCCTTATACAAAAAATGGAAAGAAAATAAAAGTAATAGATTTCAAATTCAAGAACTGTTAGTAAGCATGAAAACCACTTCCAGTTCAAACTTGAAAATATCCTACAAAACTTCAACTCACTTTGTCAGTCAGACATTAAATATAAAATAGCTAGGGCAAGGACTTGTTCAAGACAAAAGCTTCAGAAACTGTTACTCATGCATTAGTATATACATTCTATTCTATACACCCCCAAACATTTGCTTAGTGGGGATTAGGTTAAGCTATCTATCTCGATAGCTTTAATGTGGTTAATTTGATTTATAAGAAACATTAGCTGACTAACTTTTGATACAACCCTTTTGCAGCACATCTGACCGGGTCTTTTTCATGATCCACAAAGTGGATATTTCCAACTCAACAATAATCTAGCTCCTATTCATAAAAATAAGTCTGCATCAGACCCAAATCTTACTTTGGTTTGAGAAGCTCTGACTTTACCATCAAATTTGCCTGGACCTCAAATTTAGTAGTTGGTTGCTTGAGAGAAATCAAAAAGCATAAGAGTGCCCAAATACAAATGTTACTAAAAAAATTCAGGACTTTCTCTTGGAAACTTAAAAAGGTTGCTGCAAACCTCTACTAAAGGAGGAGATAACACGAAGATTCTTAGTTAGACTTCAATGACATATTCGGTTTATAATCATGTCAAATCTGAATGACACACAACTAAAAATTAGCATCTCAGTGAACTTGTAACATTTTGGAGTTCACAAATGAGTTTTGTAATTGCACCAATGTTATTAATGATGCACTTCATGACTATCACCCACCAATCTGATACATTAGCTGCATAATATTATTCCCATCCCCTACCACCTGCCAATCTGATACCTTGGCTGCAAAATATTATTCCTCTCCCATTGTCCTAATAAGATTCAGTAGCTTAAATTATAAGTTATATATGGGATACTAAGACTCACCCTTTTGCTTTATACTATTATATAAGTTGGGATGAACCAATTCAGCATATAATGTAAAAGACATCACAGTATATAAACAGAAAGATCTAAATTGCCATTGCATTATCTCATTGTATTATATTATGGTACAAAATTGCAAATAAAGATTGAGTGAACTTTTTTTTATTGAGAGTGACTCCTGTCTATTCTAACATTTCCTTCCCTTTCTACCTTTCTCTTGTTGCATTCTCGATGAAGGTAGCAGCACTCTTTGTCAAATCTTATGTACATGTTAGGCACAAGGCAATTAAATAAATCATGAAAGAAGGGGTAAGAAAATTACCACTGATCCATCTACATAAAGATGTCACTGTTGAACCACTGAAAGATAAAAGACCGCTCAATAGAGAACAAAATATACAACAGAATCCAAATGATGCACAAAAAAGCAACATGCTCTCAGTGATGCAGGGTTGCAAGCATAATACACAAAGAACAGCTGCCATCATATGGAACCAAGTTGAGTGCAGAAGTTCAAGCATACAGGAGAAACTTAAGTACATATTTTAATGGATGCCACAGATTGAAGAGAAAGACAACTCAAATGGTACCTGAGAGCAGCAACTAATCCAGCTGGCATTATCTTGGAAGTTTCCAGGTATCTTTTGCCCATAACAAATGTTAAGATAAGGGAACAAACTGTTGATAGACAATAGAAGGTCAAGGAAAGTGTATGACAAAAAGTATAGAGGAGAAGACTAGTAAACAGAGCATAAGGTCATAAACTTAATCTTAAACTTGTTAACATATATTAATTCAAGAAACATAATATCAAAATCATAAGCACTGGAAACAAATAGCAATTTTGGACATAAAAAGGAGGAAAGTATATCAAGATTTTGGTTTGAAGATGCCACCGTCTTTAATTAAGCATAAAAGTGCATTTTTATTAAATGATAACACAATTCAAGAGTAAAATTAACACGAACTAAAATCAAAGAGTTACTGTAATTGAAACCTCTTATTTAACAGGACTAAGAGATGAGGCCCTTATAGTCCAAATGTGATTAACAGTAATACAAAGAAAAGAATAGAGAAGCCGTATATATCCTGGCACTTCATTGCTTTCCGAATTAGCAACTGAGCATACAACTATTAGAGACCTAAACGAAAGTAATATATGACCTTTGTGTAGCTATCATGTTGCTTCAGTAGATCTAGAGCGGAAAAGATACCTAACTTGACCATTGTAAAGAAACCACTGTTATTACCACTGTATTATCATAAAGGACCCCTTGATTTTCTATAGAACTTGCACATGGTTCTCAAGTGAAAATACAGGCATCACAATTCATACAAAACCACATACACCTTTAACTGCTCATAATGATCTAATGTTTAAAGAGGAACTTAAACATCATGTAAATTTCAGAATAGAAAGGTAGAAAGCCCCTAAAGAACTATTAACAACAACAACATGGTGGGTGCTTAGAATGGTTAAGCAGCCACCAGATCAGTTATTTTGACTATCAGTAGACTGACTGTAACTCAGAACTATTTACCATCCTTAGAATGATTGCCTGGAGCAGCAAATGTAATTAATGAAGAATAGCAGCTCATGTATACATAGCGTATCCAGATTCTAGACAAGTTCCTAAATTACTTTCCTAACATTACATGAAACTGAGTCTCACCTAAAGCTTGACAAGTGATTTATATATCATGGTTCGCCTTACCGATCCGTACTGAACCGTACCGATATATCGACATATGGCATGGTGGGTTATACCAACAAACTGATATGTGCCGCCGTATCGGGTGATACATTGTGGTATGACGAACCTTTATATGCTGTTTGACTATGTTGGTCAAGCAATACTTCACGGATTTATATAAAACAAAAAAATACAAATTTTGTGTGCATTAATATATCGTATGCATTGAGTTAACAAACTTTGATCAAGATGATCAAAACATATATGAATCCAGATATTACCAGTGATTCACAAAAAATGAAACAGGTGGGAAACGAGCCACTCTCAACAAGATCTTCTCCTAAGAACTTTGCTCTGAAAAACAATGAAAGTAAACCCAAAATACTATGTGGCTAACTTCTTTACGAAAATATTTAGAGATACGTAACAAACATTTACTTTCCATCGTCACCCTAAATCAGATTCAATTTGAGTTGACATAATGGAAGAGCTATCCTTCTTGAACTCGTGTATATGAGGGACTAGGTATGTAGGAGGTTGCTCCTTCTTGTCTATCAGACCACACTAAAAAAAGGGAAAAAAGAGAAGTTCCTAGCTTTTTGGTTAACCATCACCTAAACTGTGAACCAAAACAATGAGAATTGCCTTACGCATGATCAATTTGAACTTTTGATACGTCTTTTAACACACAAAACTAAATGAGGAAAATGAACTAGAATGAAAAAAGTTGAGAAAAGAGATGATCTTCATTAATTTCCTTAATCAAGCATATGAAATCGAAACAAATGTACCAAAGTCTGTTTGTCCTAACTTATCGACAAAAACCACCAAGAATATTCATGCCAATGACCTAAGCGTGAAGCCTACCTCTTTTTTTTCTTGCGTGGCAAAACTAATGTGCTCTAACCATCGGAACGTCCACTTGACAACCAATAATCATATTAAAAAAAATTCATCGTGATGATTTTAAGGAACAAAGATCTCTTCTTACTCAAAAAATATACTTTGAGCTCAGATGAAACGAAATGCGTTGCAATCAGTACAGCAATTTCCCCCGTTCTATCAGAAATAAAACAAAAGCTGAGAAAGGAAGTGCAACAATATCCGATCAAAGAAACAATCAAAGAAATGAACGACCAAACTTAGGGAGGCATAAATTTGCGAGCTTTAAAGGAACAGCCGATCCAAGAGGTATCTTACGGGTCTCGAGGGCCAAGGCGAGATAGGAGTTGCGGCGCTTCTCGAAGGCCTTGAGGCTGAGGAACCCAGCAAGGAGGAGGACGACGCCGGAGCCCGCCCCGCCGGCGAGTGAAGCCGTGCTGCCCCGCCGCGCATAGCCGACGACGCCGCCGACGAGGACCAGGAGCCCGTACGGGATCGTGAAACAGAAATCGTGCATCTCGCCTCACAGATGCTGTCCGATCGATGGAAGAAAGAGATTTGTTTGTGACTTAGATCTGTCAGTTGTCGATGATATATCCTGTGCTCAAGAAAAGAATCGAGTCTTGAGGAGTTGGTGGTAACACTATTAACCGGTGAAATGGCGATTAAGAAAGTGTGGCATCCACACGGAATATTATATTTTTCAGGCGAAGGAAATCAACGTTGTCAAACTTTGGACCCAAATAAATATTATTTAATGGCAATTTGGTGGAAAGATAAATTAGTAAAAATACTAATTTTAAAGACTAAAAAAAAGATAATTTAGGCCTTTAGGAAATCATCTTTATGGTTTTTTTTGAAATTTTTATTTTTTTATAAAAGTGAAAATAAATTATTTAAAATTTTAATAATATGAATCAAAATAACTGTAACCCTATCAAAAATATGCTTTTTTCTTAAAACTTTAAAAAAAAATTCTTCAATAATATTCAAATGGTCTTTGACCTAAAGTGGTCATAAATTCACATTAAATTGGAAAAAAAAATAAAAATCACACAACTTCAACCTTTTAAGAGCCCAAATTATCAAAGTCACCCCTTTTAATGGCTTAAAAATAGAAAATTTATCATTTATGTCTTTATAATTATTTTTAGGTTTTTTAAAAATTTCAAAATTTTTGAAAAAGAAAAAGGTATGAGATGAGTTGCAATATTTTTGGATAAGTATACACTAGTTTTTGAATAGACACCTATGTAACTTTATTAAAATATAGTATAAATAAAATCACAAAAAAATTATTAATCAAATGTTTAAAAAGCAATCTTTGATGATGTTTAAATAATTTTGACCAATGATTGTTGTAAATTCATCTTAAATTGGGAAAATTTTAAAAAACACAAGTTAAAAATAAGGGATAAAAATAATTCAAAAAAATATTTTAAAGAGTTAAAAATGATTATTTATACCTTTTAAAGTTATTTTCAGGGTCTTTTGAAAAATTAAAAAATTTAAAAAAAGTGAAAGGTGAATTACACTATTTGTGGATAGGATTATATTGTTTTTAAATATGATCTAAAACATGTTGTAACCCATTTTAAAACTGTGTAACATATGTCTTAAAAAAATTTATCAAAGAATTAAAAAATATTTTATTTTGATAATAATCAGGTAGTTTTTGACCCAGAGTGGTTGTACATTCATTTTCAAATTGAACATAATTAGAAAAGGACCCAATTCAATTTTTTTAAAATCTAAAGTATGTGAAAATATCAATTTTAAAGATTTAAAATAGAAAATTGATCATTTAGATATTTGCAAATTATTTTTTCTGAAAAAAATAATTTTTAAAAAAAAATTTGGAGATCAGTTACGCTGTTTTTTTTTTTAGTGAGACCACACAATTTTTGAATAGGATCTAATGGATCTAAATTATTATTATTATTATTATTATTATATATATATATGTCTTAAAAACTAAAAATGGTCATTAGCTTTTGTTAGTCATTTTAAATGCTTCATTAAGATTTAGGAATTTTTATATATTTAAAATAAATGAATAATATTATTATATTATATTTTACTTTATATTCAATAATATCCTCTTGGATACACTTATATTCATGATATATGAAGCAATGTCTAGTATAAATAAACCATTATGCAGTATTCCTCTTGCTAATCTCCTAGGCTTTGTCAAAATCTGTAACAAATTACAGATGTGATAAGCATTATTAGTATCCAATACCCATGTGTTATCATAAAAGTCTAACAAATGAAGACTGATCGTGAATATACCTAAAGCTTCTCCAAGCTTTTGTTTCGCCCTCTTTGCAAGGTACTCTTTAAAGTTCCTCTTCCAGTGCCCGTCTTTGCCGTAGTAGAAGCACTGATCTTTGTTCTTTGCCGGGTCTTTCTTAACGACCTTTACTTTACCCGAATTGTCCTTGCCCTTGCCCTTCTCAAGGAACTTTCTGCTTTTCTTTTTTTTCTAGTATTACTAATATAAAGAACTAGCTTCTCTTTCTTGATAGTGCTCTCTGCCTCCTTCAACATATTGAGGAGCTCAAGGACAATCGCCTCAAGCTTGTTCATATTAAAATTTATTATGAAATGTGAAAAGAAATATGGTAGGGACTGAAGCACAAGATCCACACACAGGTTATTCTCTAGGATCATTCCTAGACCTGTGAGTGTCTCTATCCACTCAATCATCTTTATGACATTGTTTTGAACTGGTGTCCCCTCAGTCATCCTAGCACAGAAGATACTCTTGAATATCTTATATCATTGAGTCATTCCCTGTTCCTCAAACAGCTTACGAATATATAAGAGAATGGATGACATCCATCTTTTTATGCTTTCTCTGTTAACTCAAGAGTCATGAAGCCCAACATGTAACACTGAGCAGTAGAGTCATCTATGTTCTTTATTTAACGAGTGATCTCATTCTCCCTTGCTCCTTCCTCGGGCGTAGGCATCACTGTATCAAGGACGTATACGGTTTTTTCCGTCGTGAGAACAATTCTCAAGTTGCGGAGCCAATCTGTATAATTCAGACTAATGAAGCGGTTGACATCACGTAAGGGATTTGAAAGCGATATTTTTCTATAAATAAAGATGCAGTAGAAATAAATAACATGCAGATTTTATAAAAAAATAAACAATCAAGACATGAACTTCTATCTTATTATACTCCCACTATTTTAATAGCGAGTCACACGACACCCTCAACACATGAAATAAAAGTCTTTGGCAGACTTCTAGTGGGGATCGGGATCTAATCAGCGTCTTAGTATAACATCGAGGGACTTGGCCAATTATACTAAGCCCAAAAGGTAAGCAACTCTTGCCGATCATAACTCTTTATGATTCCCATCCTGTTTTGCCTCCGAACCACCATGGTATCAAGAGACTCGACCAATCATGATGTTGGATTAAGTCAACACTATCATTACAAGATAAGTCTGATTGATGATGTACCCTCGAGGGACTCAACCAAGCATACTATATCATCTGGTCACTAGTGACATCTCTATATCGTAGGCAAGATAATAAATCGTAATATAGGTGAGCCTCGAGAGACTCGACCAACTCAACCTATATCGAGAATCGGTCCCTACCTATAACGATGGAAGGTCACATGGGTCAATCTAATTGCCTCATGTTTACCGACTTAATATTATCGAGAGAGGTGAATAACTTGTTCATTTTTATAATTATAATTAGTTTAAATATTATATTTTACATAACCAAATCTATATAATTAATTTATATTAAATATTATAATTATATTTTGCACAACCAATTCTATATAATTAATTTATATTAAATATTATTTATTTTCGATCAATCTAATTTTTGGGTTAGTAGTTCAATTGAATGAGTTTAAAAAAAATAAAATGTGAGAAAAAAAGAAAAAATAATTAATGATATTTTTGTCCAAGCGAAAAAGTATGAAAGTTCTCGTGGGAAATCATCCATATATTATTCTCTAAAATTATTAATTTTAAGTTATTCAAGTCGTCAGCCCGAATCCGATTCTTCTCGGGTCTTACGAAACCCGAATTCGAGAACCCAAACTGCTTCATTTCAAACCAACGCTGGTCTTTTCCCGCCCATTTACACCCTACCGATTCCGTCCCTTCCATCTCATTTCCAATCCCAACAATCCCAATAGAGAACCACGGATACCGAATGGATCGCCGGCGGCGGCCGGATAGCGATGCCGCGCTGCCTCCTTCGCCGTCGCCTGCGACCCCTTCCCCTTACCTTCGCGACGTCTCCAACTACAATAACCCGAAAACCCGCCTCCGAAACCCTAACCCTAACCCTCTTCCTCCCTCTTCTCCTCTCCCCATCTTTTTCACCGCCTCCAAGAGAACTCCCTCCTCCTCCGCCTACGCCTACAGTCGACGCCGCTGCGCCTCCGGTGCAGCCCCGGCCTCCCTATCGGAAGCCGCCCGCCGCCGCCTCAAGGTCCTCGAGCTCGAGCAGTCCCGGTCCTCGCGTAAAAACCAGGAACGACGCGAGAAGGCTCTCAAGTCGTTCGCAGGATCCATCTCCGCTTGGCTCAATTTCCTGTTTAAGGACCCCGATTCTTGCGGTTGCCACATCCCTTCCTGGTTCGGAGACAGGCAGGATGGTGTCGCTTCTAATGGGAAGCGCGAGAGTCTCGATGGCGGAGCTGGGCTGGGCGGACGGTGGTGGAGTCCGAAGCGCAGGTGGGATTGCTCCTTGCGAGGGACGTCCGATGATGATGCTTGGAGGAGGGAATCAGCTATCTTTTCATTGCTGAAGGTGTCGTTGAAGGACGTGTGCAGCTTGGAGGATATGATGGAAAGGATGGAGCACTTTATGAGTAAGAAAAGTTGCAGGGAAGTCCTCTTCATGATGAGTCAAGTTTGCAAGGTTAGCCACTTCACTGTAAACTTTGTCCGTCTTAATTCTTGCTCGCATTGCCAATTAGATGAGTGCTTATTTCATTAATTTGCTCCAACTTTTCGAGCATTGTTATATGTCTAACCTTTGAGGAATGAGACCACATCATTGCACACTTTGTTTAGTTTCCATATGAGCTCTCATACTCTAGTCAGAGCTTCAATGCAGATTATGAAAGTTAAACAGTCTGTCACTAAGAAAAGTAGAAAAATGGTGCAAAATAATATGATCTGACTAAAATAATAACAAAAACAGTAAAGAAACAAAACACTGAAAGTTAAAAAAAAGAATCTGGAGGCACATCAGATGCTTCTTTGATGTGAAAACTCACTTCTATATGTGGGTATTAGTCAAGATTCTCACCTTAAAATGCAAACAGTATTATCCTTTCAATGAGCACAGTAATGGAGAGACTTAACGAAGCCATTTTTAGCACCAGAGCAGTAAAAGCAGTATTTAGAGAGCAAGAGAGGAATGATAAATAATTTGAAAATTTCTCATTTAGAGACCTGAGAAACCACTTACAGCAGCGAGTACCAAATGCAGAACTTCAAACGAGATTCACAAAATTCTCACCCCAAGATACAATCGGTATTACCCCTTTTGTCTGTATAATATAGAGTCTTGAGGAAACCCTTTTACCATCAGAGCATCAAAAGTAGTATTCAGAGAGCAACAGAGAAATGACAAATAATTTGTTTTCTCATTTAAGGACTTTGGCTTTCAGTACCAGAGTACCAAAAGCAGAAATAGAAAACAAGATTGCCAAGATTCTCAACCAAAGATACAACCAATATTCTCTTCTGTGATTTTAATCATAGAGAGTCTTGATGAAACCTCTTTTACCATCAAAGCAGCAAAATCAAAACTCAGAGAACACGATTAATATGTCTAAAATTATTTGAGAATTTTCTCATGGTGAGACTTGATGCAACCTCTTTGACTACTAGAGCAGTAGATGTAGAACTCAGCAGAATTAAGATGGCCGAAATAATCTAAAAAGTTTCAGTTATACAACTGACTGATGCGGCTTGGCTCAGTTAGCGTATGTGCGTTTGAAATGTTTTCTTGGATCCACAACCCCCTTTTCTTCTGAAGCTCCAAGTGATTAAGGATTCAATGGGAGCCATTTTGTCCTCCCTTAGGTGGGACTTAAAACAAGGTGTGGAGACATTAGGCATGGGCTATTTCAAATATTTCATCTTATCTCTCTGATAATTTTTTTCTTTTCCATATAGGTAAATAGATTATTAATTGGAAACAAGATACCATTTAAGGTGCAACTTTAATCCACCTGAGAATCAAAAAGAAACTTTTGTGTTGTCCAAGAGTAGCTACATAAGTTACTATGTATAGATATGCATGTATCTTTTGTGTGCACCACTTCAATATTCAGTATCTTTCTTTATGCTGGATAATAGCAATAGTAATTTTCTTTAGTATTGCTGGAATGACGCTTCTCTAGAAGTTATAGCAAGCCATACTTATAGTTCTTTTCTTAATTGTTTTTTTCTATCGACATTAGCCCTAGAAAAAATGTCTAAGTTATAACTTATAATACGTTGTCTCCACTCTTATACTTGACTATCATTGGTACAACATTTGTATTTTATAAGAGACCAATTTAAGAACTTGGTGCTGACTGCAGTTTTCTTAATCATATCACACTTTTGCAGTCATGTTAATTATGAAGTTTCCAAGACTGCTTAACATATTATTACTCATTTGAAATTTACTATTTCAGAGTATAGACGAAGGTAGACTGAAGATGAAAGCACACTGTCCACTAGTAACTGATCTAGGGCTGAAGGAGAAGGCGACTAGAACTCTAATGTCGTATAATCCAATGTGGCTCCGTGTTGGGCTGCATATCATTTTTGGTGGTGACTCCTTGCTTCTGAATGAAGAAGGGAAATCAGAGCAGGAATATCTGTTTCTCAAGATGATGATAGAGGCACATTTTTTTTCTCAAGTTGATATTGCAAAGTCCTATGCATATAATAAGCTGGTTGATGGCCTCTACAGGCCAGGTTATTATGAAGCTTTGGGAGGTATAATATTAAAGAGGTTTCTGTTGCTTGTTGCCTCACTTGACAAAGCTAAGTGTGAATGCAGTCTTCCTGCTAAATATGGCATTGATGGTGTTGATGGTGGCTCTCCTCTGTTGTTTGACCATAGTTGTCATATAAAGTCGACTCAGCAAGTTATCAATGGTAAGTCTTGAAAAAGGAGTATGATATTTCTATTTGATATCTTATTTAAAGTTTTGGTTTCTGCTCATATTGCTTGACTCAGATTTTTTTTTCAATTTTAGAATTTTTATCACAGGTAATGCATGGGGAAGGTAATCTTCTTCAACATCTTTTGACTCTGGGATTTAAAGTGAATTACCAACAGGTATTATGAGAATTATGTTCTTAATATTTTCTTATTATATTTTTTGGTGCAGATAAAAGCTTATTTGGCCTTTTTTCTCCTATGCAATTTGAATTTTTCTTTATCTTGCGATTTGTTTCATCTGAATTGTCATTGCCATATGTCTTTGTTCATGTTTAATGGACATCTTCATCTTATTCACAGATTCCACTTTCAGAATATGATTTCAATGTGCAAAATCTATTTGAAGATATTCAGGATGGCATACTGATCTCTAGAGCCATTCAACTCTTGCAATGTGATGCATCTATACTCTCAGTAAGAATCTTGATAAATATCCTAATACCTTTTAAACATATTTTAGATTTCACTATAAAACATGTTGTCCTTTACTTGGACAGAAAGTGATAGCTCCTCCTGATACTAGCAAAAAGAAGTTGCATAATTGCAACATTGCTCTGCAGTACCTTAAGGTGGTTGGTGTGTCCTTGTTTGATGCCGATGGAACTCAAATTCTCGCAGAAGACATTGTAAATGGAGACAAGGAGTTGACGCTTTCCCTACTCTGGAACATTTTTCTGAAGTTGCAGGTGTAATATGGCTCCTTATATATTGTACTATTATTTTGTAACATTTCTGTTCCATTTTTTGCGAATAAGATGGTACCTACCTTCAATATGTACTGTTTCACTTAATCATCTTCTTCTGTTCCTTATCTTTTGAAACTCAGTTCTGAATGCAGTTCATTTATTGAAATTTATTTCATTTGCCTACTTGGTCATCATTTTGTAGGTTTCCATTATGAATTTGATAAATGAGGTTTAAAATGCCTTTTTATTTTACCTTTGCAGGTCCCTTTGTTAATTGAAAGAGCTTCTTTGGTTGGGGAGATAATTAAACTAAAGATATCTTGTATGGTATATCTTCTACTATGCGCTTGAAATTCTATTGAATTAAATGGAGTTTATCTTATTCTATATTTAAATTTCCTGAGTTTGAAATAGTCCACTTCTAGATTTGTATTTGACAAAATTGAGTTCACAAAGTGCTTTAGGATAAAAGTATAAAACAATTACCAGAGAAATTGGACGTTTTAACATCTTAGACAATTTGTTTCTTCCTGACCCCCCAGCACTACCTTTGTTTTCTATATATGTACAACTCCTCTCTGATCATTTTTTTCTGTTTCAATAATAGGATGATCCAGACTATGGTTCAGTTACAATCATGGACCTGCTTCTTGAGTGGATACAGGTACTTAATTAATTTTTTTTTGCCAAAAAAATATTTCTTTTATTTGATAACTAGGTTGATGCTTCCAGACATAAGTGTTTTCTGCTTATTGCTATGGTATTGCTTGCTATAGCATGTCATGCAGTTTCTTTCATTTGGATATGAGTCCAGAGTGACACAGAGAAATCTAACCAGTGTGACACAAACCTAACTCACAAGAAAGGCTTAACCTCAAACCAAATTGAAACCAACTGGACCTATACGTGCTAACAACTATTTAACTGTTCAACCAAGGATGATATTGGACCAAATGTCTTGGTATATTTTCTGCAAATGGTACAGGTCAGACAAGATGCGAAAACTATTACTTGTTTTTGAGATCTTAAAACTTGACTCATATCATCATTGAAATCAAATTTAACAGGACTTGACTCAATAGATCAAAAATATATTTCATATTAGATTGACACCATATAAAGATCCAAATAGATCCTAATCTAGCAAAACGAATTATTTAAATACTTAACTCTGAAGATCCTTGAAGAATTTAAAATCTTGTATACCCAAATTAATTCTAAAAGTAACCATAAAATATATTAAAAAACAAGAGAAACTGACTCAACCTTTGCTATATTCAACTTAGCTTTTATTTGATTTAGTTTGGACTTTCATATGGCTCTCGAGTGTGATCCTCTTTGTACATAGACAAGTTTTACATTGGGAGGTAGTCTATTCACTGAGTTGGGCATGAGTTTGAGGACTTTGCATAAGGTTTCTTCCACCATTTGTGGTTTTACAAATTTACTTGTAAAAAACCAAGAACTAAATGTTGCCATGATGATTTTATCTTGTTTAATCATTGAAGTTTCTATAATTCCTCTGCAGGTTGTTTGTGAAAGATATAATATCAAGGTTGATGGTTTGTCTTCTCTTATTGATGGGGAAGCTCTTTGCTGTGTCATTTATTATTACTCAGACGTAAACTTTCATGGTGGTTTTTCATCCAAGGTCAAGAAAATTAAAATGTGTAGTAGCTCATCAATTTACAAATCTTTCATTTTGTTGAACTTTTATTAACATAAATAGATTGTGATTGTATATTCAGGAAAATTTGGATGAGAACAATGAATGTGTAGTAAAGCGACTCAATTTTGGTCGTACTGGTTCTTCTGGCAACATACTTTCAGTTCAGCGTATCATCACAATTATGGGAAACTTTCCTGAGGTTGCAACTAATTTAGTTACTCTTTTATTTTGGTACACCCAATTGATTATGTTTTATGCATTTAACAGGTGTTACACATAAGCGACATAATAGGTGATGTTGCATCCTTTGATGAAAGGAGCATGATAATTCTTATTGTGTTTCTTGCCTCTCTATTGGTTTGCCGAAAAAATTTGGTGAGGCTTTTTACACAAATAGCTAAGAGATGTCCTTGACATGGTTAGGCTTCACTAACATATGTATGATTACATGACGCACTTATAGGACCGAGGAAAAATGTATTGCCTCATGAGATGGGACTGGGGCCAGGATGTTGGACCATCAACTACATGTTCTCCACTATCTGAGAACGGTTTATTTACTTCATTAAAGTCTCAGAAAAACAAGATGTCTAAGTATTCATGCCCACTGCAAAACGGAGAATTAAACAAATATGATACTGAAGGTTTGACTTTTTGTTAATAATGTTTGAATTGTCAAGACATTATCAGTGTCTTTTATCCATTTCAACTGAAGTTGGATCTACTTATGTATATGATAAGGCTTTTTCTAAGGTTTTTTCTTTATAAACCATGATAATGATATTTTCTGAGAGATCTCTGAAGATGTTAAGATACTACAAGAATTAATTGAGAGGAAATTGACATCTCTTTCCTATGTGACCTGATTTTTTCTAGTAAACAATTAATAGAATATTCAAAACAATTACTTGAAGGACATATTTCAACAAATTTTAATGGCTTAAATATGAACACAAGTTATGGCTATATTTCTACATTATAAGCATGGAATCAAGGTTTCTTCAGGGTCATGGATTTTGAAATTAATAATTAAATGGGTTATTTACACATTTAATATTTTTTCTTATCTATAGGAGCCTGAAAAAATAACTGTAACATTTTCAAATTAACTGCAACATAAACAATCATATGTGGCTTAGCATTTGTTATACACCACAAGCTTTTGGCAAGAAAATAGATCAGAGATAAGTTTTGTTGGATGCATTAAATTAATTGAAGAATATTAGTTCATGTGCTAGGATCATTTTGATGATCTTAGCTGCTCATATTATCATTATTGTGCTATTTTTTAATATACTTGTTTGTACAAGGCCTTATCTATTATCCTGTTATTTATCTTTGATGCTCCTACTCTATATATAATGGTTAAGTAGTTTTCTTAATTAGTGAGCCTTCTGAATTGACTCAGAGAACGCTATCTTTTTCGTTTCTGACATAACTTATCTCATGATTCAGTAACATGAAAAGTATCATTTTGTAAACCTGTTAACCTTAGATGTAATGCACTAAAAATATGCTATCTTGCCAGAATGGGCTGTGAAAATCATACAATCTCAGTTTAGAAGATTTATTGAGAGGAACAAATTCTTGAAGATTAAAAACGCAACATGTGTTCTGCAAGCTGCTATTCGTGCTTGGCTAACTGTGGCTTTTGGCAGAAAATCTTATGCTGTTATTGGTTGCTCCTTTTCATCCTTATTTACCGGTAAAGAAAGTTATTGATTTTTTAAGAATTACTTTTGACAAGAGAGATTTTGACTGTGGACTTCTTTAAAAAAAATACAGGACAGTATGATAGATATATGAAGTTTATGATTGAGAGGCATAAGTTTATCCACATGAAGACATCTGTGAAACTTATACAAAGTTCAGTAAGGTCTTGGATTGTATGGAGGCGCCATAGGGCAGAAATTGCTCCTTTAGAAAGCAGAAAATTCTCCTTCAATGTAATTTCATCCACTTCTCTGCAATCAAATATCAACAGCATGATTTGAGTCATAATATTAGTACCTTATTCATTGCAGAGAGAGCCCACCTGTGCAGAATTGGAATCTTTTCAGCAGCAAACAATGGCAGTTGTTCTGATACAGAGTGCTTGGAGAGGATTTAGTTTGCGGAAGCATCTTTTGATGAAAAGATCTGCTACAATTAAAATCCAGAGCCATTGGCGTGCTTGGTACACAAGGACGAACTTCATGAATATGGTTAAATCTGTCGCAAAGATCCAGGTTGGTATCCGTGGCATGTTATGTATGAAGTCCTTTAATCGCTTCAAATTTGCTGCTATTGTAATTCAACAATACACCAGGGGGCAGCTTGCTCGCAATAGGCTTTTAGGTATGTCTTTTGTCCAAGCCTTGGTGGCTAAATTGAATCGTATGTTCTGACAATTACACCATGCATCAATTGTTTTATGCAATCAGTTCTGTAATGTTCCAAATCCCAATCATTACATTTTGATGCACACAGGTGCTTCTTCACTTCAATCCAGCAAACTGCATTTTGGATCATCCAGTGTGACTAAGCTCAGCAAGATAAAGCATCTTGAACTGAAAATAGTACTATGTGCAGTAGTAAGGATACAGAGATGGTGGAGGCAAGTTATAATGTGTAGATCACAAACTATAGCAGTAATCCTTCTTCAATCTTTTATCCGTGGGTGGAATGCCAGGAAAGCAACCAACAAACTGCGTTACAGCATCATCACAATTCAGGTAGGTCAAAATTTGTTCTTTGGTTAATTCATTTCAGTTTTCTGGTCGATTCTTTTTAGAAGGAATTTTTCTTTTTAACTGCAGAGGTGGTGGAGAAATATTTTATTTCATGAATTGAGGAAAAAGTCAGCTCACATTGTTCAGGCTCACGTTCGTGGTTGGATTGCTCGGCAAGCAACTAGTAGAGAGAAACACTGCATTGTTTTAATACAAGTATGTCATAGGGTTTTTTGATAGTTTCTCTGACATTATCGTTGAAATTTGTTTCAATTGTGATTATATGTGAAAAATAGACAAAGTATATACGTTTTATGCTTGAATCATAATGAATTTTGTTTGAGAGAATAATTGTATGTGCAGAAAAAGTATGAAGGTATTAGAAACAACTTATTGTTCATACTTCATACTTCATTCTTCACATTGCAAAAGTGAGATAGCTAAACCAGGAAGTGTAATTTTCTTTTGTCGGGCCAACAAAGAGGCCTCTCTTGGCTTGGTTAAATGTAGATCTACATACTAATCAATAGTTGTTCATAACTGACGGTTGAATACAATTATTTATTCTGGTTTTGAATAGGTCATGCCTAATAAATTTGTAAATTTTCTCTGTTGAGGTATGAAGATCAAATGATAGTTTGATTGATTTATGTTTTCTAGTAGAAAACAGGTTGAGATAAAACAGGAAAAGTTTATTTTGCATCATTCTTATCAACAATAAAATTTATAAATGTCAGAAGAATCATGAATATCTATGTTTATTTAGATCATTAAATCTATATAATTAAAATCCTCATCTTATTCCTTTTCTTCTCCATCATCCACCTTCACCATCTTAACTTCCATTACTATTGCTTCCTCTTTGCTAACACCAATTGCTTAGCAATTCCATTAGCTCAGACATCACAACTATCAGCATCTCTATCTCATTATCAGTACATATGATCTTGTCACCCAAATATCATCTCCACCTTCATTTTCACCATCATCACTTCTACCAACCTTGCCATCTCCATCTTCATCACCACTAAAATTATTGCATCCATCACTACTATAATTATCTCCAGTGCCACCATTTCTCAAAATCTATCACTATGCCTACCGGCGACACTGCTGTCATTACCAATATCAACACCATCTTTGCCTCCATCAACACACTTCTGACAGTGCCAACTTGATCATTACCATCTTGAAATGATGTCCACAATTACTTCTGCAACTATTTCTGACACCACCTTCAGCAAAGTTAGCTACCCCACTAACAATCACAACCATTTCCATCATTATGCCACCGTTATTGCCACCAACATTGTTATCATGTCCACACCACATTCCAAGAATTTTCTGCATTAACATCTTAATGACATACCATTGCAGGACATCTAGGATATCACTGCCCAAACCACCTCCATCAACACTACAGTTTGACCACCACCATGAAAATACTATCGATATTCTAGTAAACATAATATGATTATCAGATGGCTTATTACTGGAATATCATGGAATTCTCCTTGCTATTGGTATTATCGAAGGAATTATGTGTAGACTATGTGACTCTAGATATCAGTGAGACAGACTGACACTTTGCAATGTCATCATTATAAAAGGAATTAATATGTAAATAAATATTGTCTAGAACTACATATCAAAACATTTGATATACTAATGGCACATCAGATAAACAGTATAAGTTGGATTGTTCGAAGGAAATGGTATTGTTTCTGTAGCCATAAGCCAATATAACCCAGTCAAACACCATTGTCTGACATGGTGCATGATTCAGTTTGATGATCCCTATTGGGTTTATAAATAAAATATAGTTTAATTCAGTTCAAGTTACTTTGTCAAAATGTTTTCTTTTTTATATTCTTGGTTTTTCTTATTCTTTGTTCTGTTTTGGATAGCAAGCACTGGCATGTTAATGGGCAATTTGATGAAAATAAATCCTCATTTTGGAGTTTTGATTAGATAAGATATTCATCAGAACTTTCTTGATTTGATATAATAAGAGCAAGATTTGTTTAGTGATCCAAACTCCTAATGATCGTTGCATATGATGATAATAGTTATTGGTCCTAGCACATGAGTAGATTGATTAGATTAGATATCACTGCAATTGGTTGCTAATCAACCTTTTTGGGCCTTTTAAAGTTTAATTGTTGTTGTTAAGTTACAAAAAGTTGTTGATCTTTTCTGCGGGATCTTGTAATATGGATTTTTATCAATTAAAATTTTGCTTTGAGTTGTAGACAATGTCATGAGAATTATGTACTGTTTTCTGAGAATTATCATTTTAGTTTTTAACTCTTATAGAAGTACATTTGATATCCATGAGTGCATAAAAGATAAATAAAATTTGCAAAAACTGTAAACATAAATTAAATACCAAGTATTGTATGTCATTATTATCTCAATTTTCAAGTCAACTTACTGATAAATGCATGCATTACATGCATAGATCTATTCCATATACTCATACATGTGTGTTCATAATAAGGCTACTGCTTTGTAGCCTAAGTAGGACAAATTTTGAAGTCTCAAAAGACATTTTGGGATTTTTATGCTTATGCCATCTGTCTTTGTGAACATACATATATGAACATGCAACTGATTGAGCTTTACTTGTATGTTGCCTAGAATCAGGTTATTGTTCTGTTCCTAATTAGTGAAGCCTTATCTTACATTGGTTCTGCATAGCGGGAGATTAAAGTGCCTACATATTTTCTATGCATGCATTTTAGTAGCCTCTACTAAAATATTGCTTTTCCAGACTTGTAATGGAACAGTTATATTACTAAGGGTTTCTTGTTTCAATTTCTTTCATTCTTTAGTAATCATTTGATTTTGCATGTTGTTCAGTCTTACTGGAGGGGCTATCTAGTAAGGAAACATTCAAGACAGCAACTATTTGACCTACGATGCAAGCTGAAAGTTTCCGATGCAAATGTTGAAGATGATGTGCAACTGATTAACAGGCTTGTTGCAGCACTTTCAGAACTCTTTTGCTGTAAAAGCATTAGATATCTCCGCCATACCTGTGCAACATTGAGTAAGACTTTTCCTTTTCTAGTAATTCTCACAGATTGCCAGTGTGTGTGTTTCTTATTGTGATGATCATTAACCAGCTTTATCAGTTAGGTTCCATCTTTTAACATGTTTTATGCTTTTCCCTAACTTGAGTTACACAATTCACTCAGATGTCTAGACACATTTTTATATGCTTTATTTGATACATCCATGATCTTTGTTAGAATGTAACCATTCTTTTAGCCATTGGATCAGTTTTGGGTCATTTGTTTTAGTTTTGGTATCAATATAAACCAGCAATCTAGGATATAGAGAAATTTCTGACTCTATATCAACACCTGAAAATACATTCATGAATTCTTTTGACACAGGATAATCAGTTTCATAGCAGCTGTGAGAGTTTAACTTAACATGTTTTATGTTATTATTCCCTTTCAGATAATGCAACAGAGCATTCTGAGAAATGTTGTGAAACAATGGTTAATGCTGGTGCGATAGACATTTTACTGAAGCAAGTTCGTATGCTCAATCGTGGCATTCCTGATCAGGAAGTTATAAAGCATGTGCTATCAACTCTGAGGAACATTGTTCGCCATCCACTGCTGTTGCAAGTGTTTATAGATACACCTCATTCTGGAGAAATAATTTTTCAAGAGGTGCTCAGGTTTGGCCACCTGAAAACTATTTCTTCGGAATATTTGTGTCCTTTTCTTGTCTTCTTCTATTCAAAGACATACTATCCATCTCTATGTTTATTATGTGGCCATCAAATCTTTCACTGGTGACTTGCATCCCTGTTATTCTGTGCACACGAATGCATAATCATTTTGCACGTAAATCAATATAATGAACTTACAAGTGATTTAGGGATTTTGTTTTATTGTTGTCCGTGCATATTGATCTTGCTTTTGATTCCTCTTGGTGTTCTGCTACAGGAACAAAAATGAAGGATATTTTGTTGCTTGTGATCTTCTTAAGAGGCTGTGTTCAACACAAGAAGGCCGCGAAACCATCCATAAATTACATGGTCATGTACGGAGGTTACATGTTCTCGCCCAGGATCTTCAAAGGAAAGCTGATCTGCAGAAAAGGTTCGATGAAATGATTCCTTTCATCTTCGTTCTCTTTCTTTTTTTTCTTTAATCTATTTTTGCATCTCTTTTTACTTTAGGGGGGCCGATCCTCCCGTTAACTTGGTATCTAAAATTATTTTAGGAGGGTTGGTCAGGCTGGCAGGAGTGACATCACACTCCGCAGACTGAGGGAGGCTGTTAACCTTTTACAGTTAATTTTGGATAAACGTAGTTGACAAAATCTTATATTGCGTTCGAGGAAAATTGATTCTCATGATTTAACAGCCTGCTGTATTCTGAATCTATACAAACCGCATTGTGTGCAGTGATCAGTAAGTTGTACCAAATCATGTAATATCCTGGAAGTGTATCTGTTACTTAAGTGTCGGATTAATGCGTAAGTGTGAATACTGGTATTACATTAGCTGGAAAATTAAAGTTTGCGTTGCAATTTCCTTTTCTTTCTCTCTTGAAAGCGTGTTTATGATGCCAACTAATTACCTCATATTTTAGCTTTTGCACTGCTCCATCAAACTATAATTCATGTTTTGATTTATGTGTAAAATCTTTGTTGACGCTGAAAGCTTTGGACCATAATGGACTTATTTGATTGGTATCGTGCTCGAATTGAAGGCCAAGGAAATCTATGATCAGCTGCGGTGGATGCATGTTGGCAATCCATCGATTGGCTCTCTAATGAATGCACCATCTGCACAAGGCGGTTCCACAAAATCGGCTGATGCTTAGTGTTATGGTGCTTGTCTAGGTGTTCAAGCTAGACGAGATGCGGCCCGAGCACCTCATGGGTGGATTAGGCGGCATGCTTCAATGAGGTGTCATCTGGGCACTCAAACCTAGGTGTTGGGCGTCTCGGGTGCTCGGTTCAAATAAAGTAATGGAATAGAGATTTTAATGTTTAGTTTAGTTTAATAGTAGTTAGTTGGTTTGATTAAACTAACTAATCAGTTTCTTACTCATAAAAACCACCTATGCATGTGACCTCGAGCCAACTTTAGAGTTGCTTCTACCTTTGCTATCGACGCATTCTGTCGTTGCCTTCACCGTCGACGGTTTCTGCAACTGCCTTCGTCACAGACGTAGCGGACCAAGCCTTCCTCTGTCACGACAGACGAGTCTGATGACCTAGTAAGAGCCATAGCTTTCTATCGTCGTTATTTTATATGTAGTTCCTTCTATTGTTGAGGGAGAGGACCACGTGTTACTTCACCACCGACGGACACCTTCTGGATATTTCGCCATTGCCACTGTTGCTGTCCGTACCTTTCGCCGCTCTATCACGGGCAAAGTTGTAAACGAGCTATTTAATGTAATACTCACGTATGTTTGTGTCTTTCGGTTTGAGTTCATGCTTTGCATAACATATAGAGGGCTTGTAGAGGTTTGACAACCATAATTTGGTTGGCTTTTATGGTTATTTCGGGCTTGTAAATGCAAATTGTGTGTAGTCATCGTATAGAGGTAAAATTACCCAGAAATAGGCTATCTAAGCAGTTATTTTGGGAGTTTTCTAGCTCTATAGAATGGTGCAGAATATTAGACAGTATAGCACCTAGAAGCTACCTAGGTGACACATAACTCGATGGGCTTTTGGGGTAATGTTTAGGGCTAGTTCACTACGTTATTCCATAGTAGTATTATGTGGACACTTATGAGGAATTTGAGCCTCGGTGGACCACCTTGGATCCTTTGTCGCACGACCGTTCAGATCTTGTGAATTCTATATTTGTAACTTATATTGTCTATCATGTGTTTGCTGAAATGGTTGCTTGTGGATCTCGAGTTAAACACTTTCTCTAGCTTGTTTTCTCTTTTGTAATTCTTTAAAGGATCACAAGAGGTTTCGATGAGGCTAACCCTTTGCGGCTGGACACGCAAGAGTTGCATACGACTTAGATAAAACTATCTAAGTCCGTGACAAATGATATCAAAGCGGGATAAATAAACACTTGACATGCAAATGTAGGGGACCTAGTGGGCTGCGTTGAGGGTAGCCTACATGCACAACCGTTTGGGGGAAACTGTCATTGAGGTGTAAAAAAAGGAGTTCTTAGAGAAGCGGGTATCTGAGATTGATATTCGGAGGAATAGCTAACTCTTCATGCGAGAGGCACCACGAGAACAAGCGAGTTGGGAAAAACGTGTAGCGTACAAATGTTAGGATGGCTGAGTTCGAGCTATGGCTCGACATAAACAACCAAACTTAATGGTGCTCAAGGCAAGCATAGTGCTTGACAAAAGATGAGATCGTGCAAGGTGGGATGAGTTGCTTAACAACCGAAAAAGTTGTGTAAAGGTCACAAAGGTGATGATAATTGCTAACTCAAAGAATTTAGTACTCATGCAAGGGCTTGTAAGCGGACGATGGATTGTCCGTGGCCATCCCAACGCGACCAAAACTCAGTGCCTTGGAGCAGCGAAACTTTATATTTGGTATAGGAATAATACGTCTATAGGAGGCTGAAGTGTACAATAAGTTCAGCATATTGTTAGACCTTGAGCGGTATAGTAAGGTTGTATTAACGAAGAGTCACAATCTAGCAAATGCATTCACGAGAGTAGAACAATGGACAGTTTGTTCAATAAGACGGAGTAGTCCAAGGAGATGGTGATCTCAAAAACTTATAGAAGGAAGGATGCAAAGAGGAAAGCTGCTCAAATAGGGTAGATATTTAGGAGGGATAAGTTTCGAGAATCATGTGCAATTGATTGCACATGTTAAGACAGGATAATTCAAGACAACAACTCCACAAAGCTCAATGAATCAAATGAGTGATGAGGAATCGTCACATAATCTCACATAAGGTGATGCGTTGGTGGACATATTGTGAGATCAAGTGGGGGGAGTGACTTAAGGTACACTTTGTGCTGATATGAAAATCAGACTCAACGGAGAGCTCATCCGTAGAATGGTGGGCGTGAGGATTACCATCAACTCAATGCAAATTGAGGGGCAAAGTAACTTGGGTGAGATTTGGTGAGATGCCTAAGTTGCGCGAAGGGAGTCGACACAGAAAATGAAACATGGAGTAGAGGCACGAAGCTTTCCTTGGATAGAGGTTAAGGATATAGACACAGAATACGTGATGATATACCTTTTCTATTCAAAAGAGTAGGTGGTAGAGATGATGGAGAAGACGCTATAATCCTATATGTGATCAAAACTACTGGAGACTTGGTCTAAGTCGGGGTAAAATTTTGCTCTTTTCGAGTAAAACTTATTGTATTTCAAAAATTCAATGGCAATGAGGAGGTGAATCGTAGTATCTAACTCAACACAAGGAGTTAAAACACTTTGGATGCTTCGGAAGTGTGAGAAAAGAGCAAGTCAAGGTTAGCAACCAGCTTGATGCATGGAGTATAACTCTCAAGTAGGTAGGCGAAGTCGAGTTGCTTTTGTCTTCTCAATTCTTACGAAAATGGGCAAAATCGAGTACACTAGTTCTCTTATTTATTCAGTAGAGGAGCTCTGCATAGGTTTAAAGACCCTTCAATAAAACTTAGTGAAATATAATAGTTATCAAATCCTCACCAATAGTGATTGGTGGTAGCCTAAACTTAACATTTTATAATAGAATGCTAGCCTAAAGTGGAAGTGATGTGAACTTACTTGGAGGCGACAACTAAGTAGAAGAGGAATCAAATGAGCAAATTTTGTAGAGGAAAGACCCCAAAACCTTTAAAGTCTACGAGGAGATATTCGTTAAAGCTCCAATAGACATCTACCTAATTCAAGCTACATGAGACATTTGAGAGACTAGCACATAACAAGGAAGGTCTTTTCCTTTATCTGAATGATCTATAGGAACTAACAAAGATAAGCACAACTTGACTGACCCCACACTGGAGTTAGAGTCATTAGTGAATTAAAACAACATGTTAGATCAAACTTTGACTACTCAATAATAATGGCAAAGTCAAGCTAAGAGCCAAGAGGCGTATTACAGCCGGTGCAGAAAAAATAAGATTTAGCAAAAGCGAAGAGATACAACATCTGCAAAGGCTTCGACGAGGATACCAAATGAATAAGCGGGGGAGAATATCATGGACAAAACCATAAACGGGGTATTTGATGTAATACTCACGTATGTTCATGTCTTTTAATTTATATTCATGCTTTGCACAACACGTAGAAGACTTGTAGAAAGTTTGACAACTTGAGTTTGGTTAGCTTTTATGGTCATTTCGGGCTTGTAAACGTAGGTTATGTGCAGTCATCATGCAAAGGCAAAACTATCTACAAATAGACCATCCAAGCAGTCATTTTGAGGGTTTTTTTAACTCCGTAGAGCAGTGCAGAGGGTCAGCCAGTGTAGCACCTAGGAGCTACCCGGGTGGCACATGGTTGGATGGGCCTTTGAGATAGTATATAGAGTTGGTTCGTTGCGTTGTTCTGGAGTAGTGTCATGTGGATACTTGCAGTGTGTTTGTTGAAATGGTTGCTTGTGGATCCCAAGTTAAATGTTTTCTCTAATACATCTTTTCTTTAAGGATCTTAAGAGATTTCGGGAAGACTAACCCTTTGTAGACGGACACACAGGGGTGCCATACGACTTAGGCAAAACTAACTTTCGTGATAGCTTGTAGCTTCTTCCACTACCGAGCAACTATCTTAAATTGAACCCTTCGCTGTTGCTGCTGCCATCCACAACTTCCTTCGTTACCGTTGTCTTCTCCTTCCCCACTTTCCACTGTTGGTGACACATTTATCCTTCTCTTCTATTATTAATAATTCTTTTCTCCTCTCTAACCACTATTAATAGTAAATAATATACTATTAACACTAGATCGTTAATTAAGTAATCTCTATTTATAAATACAACACAAAGTAATCTCTATTTACTAGATTGATAATATACTTTTTTTTTTAATTTTAATACTATTAATTTTTATTTAGTTAATTTAATATCATATTTTTATTTATATAATCATATTTATTAATTATATGATATATTTTTTATATTTTAATATTTTAGAGCATTTTAAGACTTGACGCTTTTGATGCCTAACACTCTTAAAATCACTGAAGTATGCATCGTAGCAGCAGCAGAGCCCAGAACAAGGCCACTATAGCATGCGACGTGCTAAACAAAATATAGCATTTTTACAACCGAAATTATCATCCTCGGTACCAGCAAAACCAGACTGTAGCCTTTTACATGTAGATGTCGACAAGGGTATTGTTCTACAAGCATCAAATTTCACAGCAGTGAGCTTAGTCTACATAGGTTTTATGATACATATGTACATTAGCGACAAGATGTCTTTTGGTTGTAAATGCTTCAGGGTGTAAATGTTAAGGAGACATCAGAATTTTCCTGTACTCGGGCCTATTCTCATGGATGCATCCAGTGCTAGCTAAAGAGTTGATCCAAACCTCATCTGATTTTACTGATTCATCATCATCATTCCTGTGCCAACTCCAAATTGCATGTGTCGAGTTCACGATCTTCAGTTCACCATGACCAAAGCTTGCTTCTCTGTAAACTGACCACTCTGGCTTTGGGTGATTAAATCTGCAGATTTGGATGCAAAGATAAAACAGAAGATGCATTTGCGGACACAGGTAACACAAACCCAAGAAATTAGTTCACACTATCTAGTAGCAGGATTCAGAAAGATCTTGTTTACCTATGAGCCAAACCTTCCCTGTTGCCTCCGTCTCCAATGGTTATGTGCAGAGGACCACAAGGATCTAAACCACCATTGTAGACCCGGTCCTGTGGTTTGTATAAGTAGATCAAATGAAGCATATAACAAAGTTATGGCAGTGGATGTAACATAGGATTTCAGGAGGTGCTGGCTTACCATTCTTTCATAAGCATGCACATGGCCAGCAATAAATATATCGACACCAGCAGCATAAAGCAATGGCTCCATTGCAGCCATCATGCTTTTCCCTTCACCTTGATGAGCCCAGTTGCTATTATACCATGGTACGTGCAATAGAACTAGCAGCCACGGTGTCCTTTCCCTGTCTAGTCTAGCAAGATCAGTCTGTAAAATCAAACCAAAGAGAATAGACCCTATGGATCAGAAATGAATATACCTCTTTAGTTAGAATTTAACAGAAGTATGAAAATTATAAAGAAGTATAGGTAGGAAAGACTATGACAACCAGGAAAATACAATAACCAATCTGGGAGAGTAGAAATATTAATTTAAACATACCAAATTACCCATCCAAAATTTAAGTATATGTCTCTTAAAAGTTGTCTGAACAGAATAGAAGACACAATTGGTGGAACCAAACCTGAGATATTTCATGGACATGACACATTGAGAGGAGGAATCATCATGATACAAATTGAAAAAATCAGGCAACTAATTCATTTTATCTTATTCAGATTTCAAAAAATCATTCAAAATAATTTGTAACTTGCAACAATTGATGAGGAAAGAAAAAGAAGAAGAGTTGAGCATGAAAACCATTGAACCATGAAGAGGGAAGGAACAGATTAACTGACCTTTAACCAAGCATATTGATCTGAGTTCTCATCATAATCGGAATATGACCCAAGCATGATAATGTGAACACCTGCAACCTCAAATGAGTAATACAGATTGGATGTAGACCCACACTCTTCATATGGCATCTTCCATCTTGCATTATATGCTTGAAATCCAGATTTAAAAAATACTATACTCTCCTTTTCATGGTTTCCTTCTGTTACCATCCATGGTCTAGAGCTGGCAAGTGGCTGCACCAGTGCACCAAAAGAATCCCATAAATGCTGCTGGTAATCAGCATAGGAGAGATCTCCAGGGAGAAGATGCACATCATATTTGCATTGACTTATGTGATCTAGAGTTGATTTTGTCCAGCCTGTTTGCCCAAGATCACCAACTACAGAAAATGTTACTGGAAATTCTGAAGGTGGGGTCATAAACTGGAACTCAGGACCTTGTCCACCGCACCGGTAGAAGTAAGTGGTGCTACTTTCAAGGGGCCCAATAACAACATGATTTATCTTCCCAGAAGAATACAGTAAATATTTGTAAAATGCACTCTCTCCTTGAGACGATGAAGTGTATTCTCCTGGTGAAGTTCCATATTCAACTATTGAACGAGAAAATTCATCATCACTCACCCATGTTATTCGCATGTGCTGTGTTCCTGCCAAAGAAATGTGAACCTGAAAAAGACAAATCGATTGCCAGCTAAATGCCTTTGCCTCAGAAAATATAATGTCATTTGTTATTAAAATTATACTCTATTGTTTCAAAGAGGATGTTGCTAACATACAACTACATATAACATGTAGAATTGAATAATATGTTGTAAAAAGGATGATTTTTATTCACTGAGGTGATGAATATTTATGCAGGTTTTGAGGGAGAGATTTCCCTCAATCAACCACTCAAATCACGCCATCAGATCAGCTATTCAAATCTGTGATTGATTCTTAGTTGAAATTATTCAACTTTTGATTTATGGAAACTAAGTATTTTTGGATGGAATTATTCAACTTTTGGTCAAACCATTAACTTCAAGGTTTTACTCTATGTTTTCTGATCAATTTTGTTTGCATATTTACGGAATATCTAATACCACTTTAGTGCGCGCAATAACATACGAGTGATGCATTAACGTGTGCATAAGAAAACATCATATCTATTTTATTAATGCCTAGAGCATGTAGACATTGCAATTTAAAAGCAACTTTGTACACGCATGTATTTCTCAGACCCTTGCAGTTTCAATTTGCACAATTCACCAGAAAAATTTTGGTCCTTCAATTCTTAAGCAGCTCTTGAATCGGTTTTCCCTCCCTCCGCTCGGCCATCCCAATCCTATAATTCAATAGACATAAAAAGACTCCGTCTTTGACTTTTTAAGCAGTTCTCGAGTAAGTTTCCCTTCAATATCGTATCTCTGAGAACCCGAACAATGCAAAAATCGAATTCTACTTCAGAAGAATTTAACAGAATCTTCAGTAAGAATCCCGATCCAGAAGGAGAAAGAAAGAGACAAGGAGGCCAGGCAACCGCAGCAGCAGATCCGAACAACTAAAAATCATAATCTTAATAGCTCAACCAGAAGAGAGAAAGAGAGAGAGAGAGACCGGTAGTTGACACGATCACCTGCTGTGGATCGGAAGAACGCTTGGGCTTGGAAGGGAGACTTAGGGTTTTCCGAGGCAACGGCCGGACGTAGTCCTCCCCGCTCCCGCCTGCGATCACCGTCGAAGATGGAAGAGGGGAAGAGAGGAAGAAGAGGAAGAGAAGAATCGTAGCCCGTGTCGCTCTCAGCCCCATCTGATCCTCTCCTTTGTCTTCTCCTCTTCGCGTCTCTCTCTCCTCCTTTATAATAAATGCGTATCGCTAATAAAACAATTTAAATTCCATCTTTTGGAGCGACGAGTACCGGCCAGTAGCGAAGTAGTGCAGGTGCAATGCACGTGAACATCCTTCCACCGGAGCCTTATGAACTAGTGCACGCGTTACGCACGTGCTTCTCTGTGGAGAAGCGACAGGCCAAGTCAAGCCGTTTCTGAAAGCTGTGCTTGAAATGAATTAAAATTTTATGAATTATTAAAATAACAAACATAAATTATTAGTCTGAAATGAATTCCATCAATTTATAAATTAAAAAGTGTTAATCCATAGTTTTCATTATATTCCATGTTTAAATTAAATTAATTAAAACCTGCACTGTTATCAGTTTTATTTCATTCTAAGATACATTGTACTCGAACATAATAATATTTTCAGACGTAATTGAAACAATGTCTTAGATTCACGAGGAATTCCTAAAGAGAATTGAGATGGATGCTGTAATAATACCTATCCAATTTTCGTGGTGTCAAATCAATCCTGAACAAATGATGATGCCCTCCCTGCAGAAGACATCGAGCTCACCGCAGGTCAAGATGCATGCGATGCGGACTGCAGATTTCACCCGCGGGAAACAAAGCCTGTTTCTGCTCAATATCACAGTTATATAATACATGGGCAAATTATGATCAAACAAAGCAATCATATCATTACTAGATGGTCCACGACATAACAATATTAGTTCAGATTTGGAAAGACTACTTAACAGTTCAAATGTCATGAAAAATGGCAGCAAAGCAAGCAACAAAGTCTCAACACTACAGATATCAAACGCCTGGGACGAAGTAACGTAACTCAAACAAACAACTGCTGCTCTTTGGGAAGAGAAACCTACGGAGTAATGGACATGACCAACGAGCTTTGTCAACGGATGCACGGTTAAATCTTTCATGTTCAGGAGCTGTGGAAACTGCTTGCCATTACCATATACTGCGCACCTCTTCAGGTCTACCAACTCACTGCACAGTAATATTGACATGTTACTCAGTATACTTGGGAACATAACAAGCAAGGAAAATGCCATACGGAGATCAAGATACAGAGTAATTGAAAAGGCCTATTGCTAAACTACAACTTGTTCTTTTGATTTTAAGGTGATGCCACCGTATATAAGCCAATACCCATCATGGCTTTGTCCTAAGGATATGCAATTTCCCTACAACAAGTTTTAACCTTTAAATCGATGAGGGTGATCAAGAGTGATCATGCCATTGTGGACAGGATTTAGAAATTTCACTTATTTATCAATTAATTAATGAATCTTGATTATTATAATTTTATTTAGTCTTGATTACATATCACATTGATGTTCAATATGTGATACATTTGACCGTCCACATGCAACTACCACCCTGTAGAACATTGTCTACTACTAATCGATTTGGCACAATTGAATTTTTAACAATAAAAAGATAAAACTGCTCAGTGTTTCTGATCTCAGCAGAAAATGAAGTCGAACAGTATGAAAACTGAACTAAATCAAGCCCAAAAAAAAGGCAGTTTGATTATTCAATTTGTCTATTTCAAGATATTTTCCTTGACAGAATGAATGGAGGCAGCAAACAAGATACTAGTATTATAGCACGCTGGTGAAGATGATATCAGATCAGCAACCATATGCAAACAAAGATTGGCTTGTGAATCTGAAATTACTATGCATAATAGAGGTGGGAAAAGTAGAATTCCAATTAGAGTGGGCGAGAAAGAGAGAGGAGAAAAAAGTAACAGCATGTTTTCATAACAGATTATTCAAATTAGCAGATTGACCTAATAGGTTGAGTCCAAGGAGAAAAAACAGATAGGATCTGCAGCATGCAACTTGATCTAGATGGCCGAGAACCACAATTATGAAGAGTCCCATATATGGCTGAGAATACCTTGCACCTCAAGTTGGCAAGCAAAAAAGGGAAAGCAAACTGTTGCCATTTTTAGCACAAGCTGATCAGCAAGCTCAATGTTGACTCGTCATACCAAAGTTCATTACCCAGGATTATGTCTAGTTTGTGCACAACACAACAGTTCTAACATCAGAAGTTCCTATTTTCAATAATGCTACGAAAATTAAAAGAAAATTATATTAGGTTCATCAACAATCATACCATATAATATGAATTATATTTTCAATTCCTATTTTCAGCAAAACTAATGTCATCAACAGTCTGTTACCTGAGGTGGCTGCTGTGGCGGCTGCTGCTGCTGATAGTTTCCATATCCTGGATATGTTGCATAAGCATACATATTAGGATCTTGAGGTGGGGCATATCCATAGGCATCATAGCTTTGGGTGTACCCATAGTAGTTCCCATTCCACTGGTTGGGATCCTGCTGTGGCTGATAACAAAAGAGAATTAAGTTTAATGAATGCTCAGCTTTGAGAGAGAAAAAATAAGATCTGTTAAGAAGGTAAGCATAGCTAACCTGTTTATTTGTAGGACTACGTCCCCATGAGAGCCGAACATTTTGTCCACCCAACAAGGTCCCATTCAGCATCTGCAAAGCCTCCTCAGCATTGGCCCTGAAAAAATCAATTAAGAATATTCAAAAGAATCATCAAAACTTACAGAGCTATCCATCCCGTCAGTGTTTTTAATTCATGAACCAACCTGTTACCAAACTGAACAAACCCACATCGCTTGCCTACAGGTATTTTTATGTAAACTATTTCTCCATATGGGCTAAAAACCTGCCGCAAATGTTCATCCGTAACATTTGGATCCAGTCCGCCAACAAATATCTGTGAGCCAGATAGCAAATTGCAAAATCACAATACCATCACTACATATATGTAGAAAGCTAAACTAAGTACCCACAGTGGTATTATTTGGATCATTCTCAGATTCAGCACCTTGTGTGGTCTGGTAGGAAGCTGCAAAAACAGCATAAATAACTTTGTAAATTGATTCTAGTCATGAAAAGTTTTATTGATGAAAAACAAAAGGAAAGAAAAAAAAGTTTGAAGGAAAGCTAATCTACCCAACACAACTTATGATTCGGAATGCAAATACCACAACCAATCCGCTTTAGTATTCACATGTACTCATAGATGAATGTCTAGTTTGGCTCATTTATAAAAAGCTTGGTTAATGATATTCTTATCATGGTCTTGAGGATCAGCACTCAGCATCTCCTAATATGGTTAGCTAATCTTAACCGGGTAAATCACAAAAAGCTCTGATAAAGTATCTGTCAAGTCAGAATCGCATTGGAAATCAGTGACCATTGATACTGACCAATCCCAGCCCGACTATAACCGAAAAGATTCAGCAATCTGATCCAATCTGGCCCAAACAAAAGCCTAAGTTGTAACTTTGTCCTGGCAGATTGATCCTCAAAGATTTTCTTAGAAATTTAGAACTCATATTAGGTCAAAATTCATTACAAATAAAAATTCAAAAAAGCACACAAAAAGTGTTTTCCAGTAAAATATCATGCATAAAATAGTTCTTGACAAGCTTGAGAACAGGGATCAGCATTAACTCAATATCGAGAACGTTGTTGCAACTTACTTGAAATTGTCAAATCCCCGAGGACGAAGATACATGATAAATGTTCAGAATGTCATTACCTTAACAGCAATTAGCTAGAGCAAATAACAAACAATTATACTTTTTTATAAAATATAATCCAAGTGCACCATCAGATGCTCGACCTTTATGCCTATATTATTTAGTGATGTTGGATGTACATGATGGCAGGGTTCTCAATTTCGATGTGTACCGTCCGGTACGGACAATATGAACTAATCGGAGAGGATACCGGTACGCGGACCATCCTCTACCGGGCAGTACCAGTGTTTTGACTGGTACCAAGGCATATCGACTGGTATCGAGGAGTACCGACCAGTATCGTCTCGGATTTCGACCGTTACCGAGGCATACCGATCAGTACGCTCTGGCATGGTAGGTGAAGGTATTTTTAAGGTTCTAGGGTGTACCATCGATATGCCCTAGCGTACCGACGATATATACCGGTACATACCGTACCGAACAGAGCTCAGTACGCTTATATAATAATCAGATGCATGTGACTAGCATCTAATTATTGTATAAGCTATATTACATGGTTATGTATTTGTCCTATTGTGATTCCTTATTTGTCACTAAAAAAAAGATTTATAAAGGTGTATACCTTGATTTTGAAGATTATATGGCCTAGATCCCTACTCAACATAATTGCTAAATTACATTTTATTTTATTCAGAGTGACCTTCTGATGGAGATAAACATAAGGCTTGGGTGGAAAAAGCTATCCCTTCAGTTCAGTATTTATGATTCTTAGACTTGCATAGTCTTTTATCAGACAATTGGTTTATAATAAGTGATACTCATGGAACTGACATCATAGAATTGAATTGACACTAAGCCAGAGATAAATTTAACAGAATATAACATATGAATCTCATTCATACCATGTCCAATAAGTACCAACTAGAAAAAACATTCAAATATTATGCATGCCAAAATTTCAATAGGTAAACAAAATAAGGATGTACATTCAAATATTATGCATGTACATTAAAAAGGTTAATGTGTACACAAGGATATGCCTTATATAGACTCATAGTACCACAAAGTTGCATATCTCCAAAGGTTGCTCAATTTAAGCTATAACAATCAGGACAGACCAGAAAACATAAATTTTGCACCTGTTTGGAAAAAGTAAAAAAGTTTAATTGAAAAGAATTAATAGATTAATATTACAATTGTATTCCCCTCCTAGATGAGGTATTTAATTTTACTTTTACAATTGTGCATCTTTTGACAATCACATCATAGTTTTGACCTTATTATACCAAGATTATAACCTATCTAGAAATGCAATCAAATTGTCCAATTGTAAAAGATAAGAGGACAAAGAATGAAGCATTTATAAGAAAATATTATGAAAACCTTGCTAGATGATCTTAAATAGACTCAATTGGACATCCAGGTTGATATACAAGTATACAACAATACCCTAGTTTTCTCTTCTATAAAATACAGTGAATACAGCCAAGCACAGAAGATTAATGAACTTTTAGAATATTTATGAAATAATGTTATGAATATATAACTAATTATTTTGCAAGAAATTTTTTTTGCAAAGGGGAAGTGGCAATGGCGAAATTAAAATATACTTTAAAATTTTCAAAGAGTCAATATTGGTTTTGGTATTTGATTGACCAGTAAAGTACTGGTAAAAAAAGCAGCAATCAGACCTGTACTGGACAATATTACAGTAAACAAGTGATAAATAATAATAACTGACAAGTATGGTCTAATTTGTGTCATTGATTGGACCGATAAATAAGTTTGTAATGTGGGTATAACTAACATCTAAAAAATATTCTATGGTTGCACTGCTGTCATTATATTTTGTATACCATAGAAGAACGGAGTTAGCAAAAAACTGGTTGCATAAGAGATTAAAAAAGTAAATATACCTGACTTCAAGCTTTGGTTGTGGCAATATGTGCTACCGGGAGAGTAAAACAAACAAGATTATATTGATGAAAAGATAACAACAAGGATATGCTTGCGATATAAAATCATTACTCCTTTGTAAAGCAGTGTTATCAATGGGTGCTCACCTAGGTGCCCAGGCGAGGTCCGAGTGCCTTTCATATATTATAGGCAGGCTTTTACTCGGGCAACACCTAAGCGTGCATCCGAGCTTGATCACTGGATGGCCTAAAGCACGTGCTCGAGTATGATCACACCTAAGTTAAAGCTCGATTAGATTCAATCAGGTAAGCGATTTAATACCGTATAACCCCCAACCCCTTTGTGTGACTCTCTCCCTCTCTCTCTCGTAAGAAACCCTAGGCATTCCGAGTCTCCTCTCTATTGTGAGCAACTCGACCGACGACTTGAATGATTGACTCTCCTACAATGGCGGTAGTGCAGCAAGATGCCTCCTTCCCACAATGGCGAGTCTTAGCTCTCTCTCTCGCTCCCTTAACCCCTCTCTCTCCCTCTATTTGGTGGTGCAAAGACCCCCTCCTCCCTCTTCTCACTCGCAATGCCCCCACCCTCCCGAAATTAGCTTGCTTTCTATCTCCCTCTTCCCCTGTATTCTCTATCCCAGCATCCCCCCATCTTGAGAGGCAACTCCTGCTCACATATGTGCTTCCACATAGCCCTCACTCACACCCATGGGCGGAGGCGACAACCCTCTCCCTTTCTAATGGCATCCCCTCCCTCTTTCTTTCGGGGTTTGCCTCTCTCCCTTTACTTTCAACGACCCTCTCTGCCTTTATATTTCTTTCGGCGATCCCTCCTCACCTCCAGTTCCTGTTGCCCGCTGTTAGCCCAAGCCCTTTCATCACCCTCAATTAGTATTTGTACTTGCTAATTTTAATGTTAATTTTTGCTATAATTTTGAAACATGTTGATTTTGATGTTAATCTTCTTTTGTTTTGTTATTTTGTTATTAGACTCAAACAATTCAGTACTTTAATGTTTTGTAGATGGTTAAATAAATGTCATTCAGTATTTAATGGTTATAATTTGAATATGAAATTACATGGAACTCATATATTGTCTTACTTTCTTCTTAATCATATTTTTATTATTTTTTATATTGGTGAGTGCTTAGTGCCAAGGCATTTTGGAACCTTGGAGCCTTTTTGCGCCTAGATCCTTTGATAAGGCTGTTGTAGAGTATGACTATCGAACATGTTTTAGAGTTTAGACCACCTCCAATGTATGATTTCCCCATTATTGACAGCTAAAACACAGATTTCAAGATCAAACGAAGATCTTTCTTGACCTAAAAAAGAAGTGTACAAGATAACACAACAATTATTAGTTACAATCCTTGGCATAACACCAAGTCATTTTAGCTAAAAGAATGAAAAATATGAATCACGAATTTGACTAATAGAGAACAGTATATACAAGCTGTTGAACTAATGATTATGGCATTTGCTACCGTCCCTAAAAGTAGTCATCATTCTAACTAAAAAGTAAAAACCACTGCTACCAAGTGAAAGACAACACAATAACTATCAATATTTCAACAGTAAGCCAACAATCAAACATAGCTTCATATGGAATATGGATGCTAGCAATTCAAATCTCAGCATAGGCTCCAAGGAACTTGTTAACATTGGATAAACATCGTTTACCAAGCTGATCTTGCATTAAACGCATCAACAGAAGCACTATTTTGAGAGAGGGGAAAAAAAACAACCATCACATGGTAACAACCCTAACCCAGATACAACCAAGGAGACCACATCCAGGCAACAGAACTATAATCAGCATCGTAAGCTCTGGAACTTAGAAGAAGAAAACCAACTAAAAGAGGTTGATATTTCTTCTTACGGCAGAATAGAAAGGAATGTGAATACCAATTAAAAATCTGAAGATAGTATAGGAATAGAATCATGCAAATTTCAGCGAAAAGAACAGAAAGACAAGTTTTGATCTACAAGATGCTTATAGCTGTAACTGGATGAAGGTTTCAACCAAATGATAAAAGGAAATCAAAACTGATGGTAATATAACTTGACTGATAGGTACAAATGCAAGAAAATGAAGGAACCACAATGGAAAAATAAGTGGGAGGTTGAAAAATGAGATTAAAGAGAGCTTCTGTAAAGTAATTAAAAAATAAAATAAATGTAGCAAACTATGCCACAAGAAAAGGACGAACCAAATAACAACATAATCAAAGCACTGACCTAACTGGGGCCACCACTACAGGAGATATGCATCTCAGCTGAAGTCAGTTCCAAGCCCTAAATGAATATAAGAATGAAATCCTGCTTAGAGACCACATGAGGTTTCTATAAGTGTTCTTCACTAATAACCATGTTTCAACGAGCCCAATTTTACAAAGGAAACATCGGCCAAAGAAACACCCTCATCTTGAAAACTATGATTGAAAAATAAAAAAAACTTAATATTTAATTTATCTGATTCCACTATCACACCGATCATTCAACTGATACAATTAACAACAAATTAGCTCTATATGCAACCAACTGAACAAGAGGAAACTTAGATATAAGATACCTGCAGAACTCCATATAAGCAGCACATAAAAAAAAAGCACATATGATATCAAAATTACAGGAACATTGCATAGAGGCATACCATTTGAAGGATACTGTTGTTGTGTACCCAAAGACTTCTTATCGGCAGCTGGACCAATCCGCATGGGTCTTGTTGAACAGTAAACTCCATTCATTTCAGTCATGGCTCTTGTTTGTTCATTCGGATCTCCAAATTTAACAAAGCCATAACCTTTGGAGCGCCCAGTCAGTCTGTCAGTGACAACTTTGGCACCCTTAACAGATGAGTAATGATTCTTGAATGTCTCTTGTAACAAATAGTCAGTGACATCTGCAGCCAAGTCCCCAACAAAAATTGTATAATCGACACCATCGCCACGTCTCTCACCTGCTCCACATGTTGCCCAATTCAGTCTGAAAGCTTGTTCTGTGTTAGGCATCACTTGACCGTTATAAGTTTGAAGAATTCGATCTGCACCAGCATGAGATACAAACTCAAGAAAACCATAACCCTCCGATTGCCCACTCTGCTTATTGCGGATAATTTTAACTGAAACCACCTGCATCATTAATTACATGAATCAGAAAGACCAAAGCATTAAGCAGAAACTAATAGTGTGGCACAGACCCAGACAAGAATAAGAATTGGAGGTATATCATAGTGCCTAACTCACAACATATTAAACAAAGACCAAACTAATATCTCACAGGAAAAAAGTCTATTGTTGCCAAAACATAAATATTAGAAAATATGCACTTGAACTGCCTGAACAAAAGAGGATTAGTAATCTTGTTACAGCATTTAATATTAAAAGTTCTACAACATTTTGATAGTTGAAGTAGCACTTAGATTTTCGTTCAAACCTATGTCTGAGCAAACTAGGTAAAGTGATAACTATGTACATGCTATTGTCCACAATCATAATTCAAGTGTCAAACCTAAGCTTGTTGGCCTAAGGCCCTAGGCAAGATTCAACCAGTGCCAACTCAGTGCATATGGCATACAATCCCTAATTTCATTAATGTTGATTTGGGTTTCTATGTCCTTCCTATAGCTTCATTTTTGAGTCACCAACACTTTAAATTTGATCTAAATACTGATGCAACACTGGACATTGGTATCTATGTAGTGTTCAGTAAATGCATAAAGTTAATCCAGTGCTTTGTGTCCTTTTCAGTGCTTTAGTTAGTGATCAGAATGCTTAAAGCAACTATAGAAATGCAATTCGTTCATTATTAAGTTAGGGAATAGAGAAGAGACCATATTAATTTTCTAAACGTTGCTGCATAAGTAAATCATTGATAAGACTTGCACGCTCCAAAGAGGAACCTCATGATGTAGTTACTTAAAAAAGAAGCTTCCACTTACCCTGCTAACGGAACCCACTGTCAACTAGAAGAAAAGGACTCCAGACATTAGCCTACCATTTTAAGTTGGAACACTTGGACATAGTCAAGCTGATCTCAGTTATCCACAAAGTAGTAACTACTCCAAAACAAAAATAAAACAAAGAACGAATGTTTTATCAGCGAGGGAAGGGAACTTGCTCCCTTCTCTTTTCATAAAAGCAATTCATCAACATGCCATTAATCTGGCTATTAAGATCAAAGAAACCCACATAACACTGTTGAAAATTAAAAAAACCCAGAGAAATCGAGAAAAAAAACTCATATATGGAAAAAAAGATAAAGATAGATACCTCTCCAGTATGAGCAAAGCAGCTGTAAAGATAGTTCTCATCCATCCAGAACTGCAGTCCCCCGATCCAGAGCGTGCGGATTTCATCTGCCGACGCTGGTTGCGGCACCAAAGGCTGGGCTGCGGCCGGCGCTGGCGCCGCCTGGTATTGCATCTGGGGGGGCGGCATCAGATTTGGAGCCTGGTACTGCTGCTGGGGCTGCGGCATCGTCTGGGAAACCGGGGGGGGAACCTGGGAGGGCTGCTGGTTCCACATCGGCGGAGCCGGGGCAGCCTGGTAGTACTGTGGTTGCGGGGGCGGCGGTGGCATCATCATCCACTGCTGCTGCTGCGGCTGCTGGTCCATCGGAGAGGGTTGCACCATCCCACCGGCAGGCTGCATCATCTTGGAACCAAAACAAACAAAAGGTCAAATTTTCCGAATCCTGTCTCTGATATCATAGGATAAACAGCGACCGAAGGAGATCGAGCCACTGAAGATTTAAGATTTGGATAGAACCCTAACCCTAGAAATGGGAGGAAACGGAATAGGGTACGGGCAGAAACGGGGTCGGAGAAAACCCTGACCCAAAAAGAAAGGATACAAGGAGGGCAGGTGTGTGTGTATATATATATATATATATATATATATATATATATATATACACGACGATTTTTTTAAAAAAATATTTATATTTTGAGTATTTTCCAAAAGTATAACCTCTTTTATTTCTTTTTCCAAACAATATCTCTAATTTAAAAAAATCTAAAATATACCTCAAAAGTTTTGTTGTCAATTTTTTTTCTTTTTTTTTACTATTTTAAATGTTATAATATTTTTATTTAGCTCATTTATGATTCTTTAATAGTATTTATAGTATTTTATTAATATATTAAATAATATTATAAATAATATCATACCATGTCATTGATTGTTATTGGTTATACGTTATTACAATATTATATTTTTAGACTTAGATAAAACATTATAACAAGTGACAATCTTTTTAAAAGATAATTTATATATTTTTTAAATCAGAAATATTATTTTAAAAAATAGGATACCGATTAAAAAATATATAAAATATGTAAATACCGTCCCTATCATTCTCGGCTTACCAGCCTCATGATAGGAGAATCCAGTGGGGCCCACCTGTAAAGAAAAGGATTGAAGGAGGAGATGGTCGGGTTGTGCGCTGGGCTGGACGTTCCGGTGCACGGTAATTAATGCGATTTGGACCCTCACAAAAAGGCCCCAAACAAGAGAAGCATTCACAGTGTCATCATCCCCTGTTGTTTTCCTCAGCAATCCAATCTGATCTAATCTGATCTGCTCTCTTCTCATCATATGATTCGTTGTTTCCACATCTTATAAATTAGCTTCGCTTGTGGTTTTGTAGAAATATGGATTAGGTCAATTTGTTTATTAGGGTTGAATTTGGAGATCAAATTCTATTGATACCATATTAAAACTGGGTGACTGTTCAGTAAATTTAGGAGAAAAAAAATAAAGAAATGCAAATTCAGAAATATAACATGCGTTTTGTGCAAAGTATAAAACCATCTGACACAAATGTTAATATGATCTGAGTAATCTGCTAAACCTTTTTCTTTCACATTTTGATTAAGACAAAAAGCAGAAGAATAACCACATATGTGTGCAGTGCACAGCATGAAAACTTAGAAAGAGAGATCTAAGGTTGAAGAGGTTGTAGGTTCCAAATTCATTGTCTGTCCTATCAGATTTTAAGCTTGGAAAAGCATGTGAATGATTCACCAGATAGGTGATAATGAGAAGAAAAGAAGAAGAAAACTCACTAATGAATTTGGATTATAAAGCCCTCTATTCAACTTTTATGACATGTTAAACTGATGCACATAGTTTCTTTTTTTTTATTTGTACCTGATGTACACAGAGGCTTTTTTTTTATTTAGGATAAAAGTCAGATCAATCAACTTTCTTGTTAACGAAGAGAGCAAGCTGCATTTAATATTTAGGAATTTTTTTTTTATGAGAAGAGAAAATAAAGTCAATACCATTATCCTCCTCCTGGTTTCATTCTCATCAGGAGGGGAAAACCTAGTTTGGATCAGCCCAAGTTGAAGCTTGGGCTTGCCAAAATTAGGCAATTCAAATGTCATCAAGTCCTAGATATAATGTAATCAAATCAAATATTTAAGATTGAGATTTAAATTTTGTTTTCCTTACTTGCCATCATAATTTAGGAAATCTTAATCTACTTTCTTGTTTGTTGATATGAATTAAGGAAATAACTATTAAGTATTCCAAATACGAAGATATCATATTTGTTAGTATATTAAATGGAAATAATTTATATTAAATAAATATAAAAATTAAAATAAATTTTTCTTAATAGAGACTCACCTCCTCCTATTTAAAGGGAGGGATTTCTCTCCTTCGTTCCTCACCTAGTCGAGCCTGGCAGCGGGAGGAACGAAGAGTTACACCCTGTTGACAAGAGGTAGGTTTCCCTGCCTTTCTTAAATTTAAAAGTTTTAGTTTTTATTTTGATTCTTTGAATGTTGAAAGTTTGTAGTTTGAAAAATGTTTATCAATTATTTATATGTTAAATTTTTTATTATTACATTAAAGTAATCAGTTGTATAATGTTGACCTGATTAAGTTTTTTTATTGTAGATTTAAAGATGTTAAAAATTTATATGTTTTATCTGATATTTCCTGATATTACTATTTATCTTTAATCTTATCTGGATTAAAATATTATTAGATTAAAATATGTTATCTAAAATCTTTTGTGATATTCATTAATTTGATCTTTAAAATATGCTATTCTGAATGATTTAGAATTTGACTAGAATATGTTGAAATTTTATATGTATTGAAAGCATGATTTTTATGTGAATTTAGAAGGTTATTTCATTATATTAAAGTTTATGTCTTTTAATGTAATATGATTTCCATTCAAATTAGAATGTTATTTCCTTGTTTTAAAGCTTATCTCTTTCTCTATCATTCAATGCGTTATTATATTTTTTGTTTATATTGCTAATGAATATATGTTGCGGTATGAAATTATATATTATTTGGATTGAAATTGCTCACAGGCCAGGCCCAACCCATAGGTCAGGCCATAGCCTATTGGCTAGGCCTAATCAATAGACCAGGCCCAACCCACGGATCAGGCCTTGGCCCGTAGGCTAACCCAGCCTAACCATCATGGGCGGTCACATGCGATGCACATGACCAGTCCATAGGCCAAGGCTAGGCCAGCTTTGTGTGATGCATGCCCAGTCATGTATAATGCACGTGACTAGTAGATGAGCTGGCTTAATCTAGCCCAATATTATTGTTGGATTTGAGCCCAAGTATTGATTAAACTAAATTAGGCTTGATTAGTTTAGATCAATTTAGGGTGATTCCAAATTGATTGACTTATTCAAGTTAGTTTAACCTAAATTGAACCTAAATCTAGCCCAATATTATTGTTGGATTTGAGCCCAAGTATTGATTGAACTAAATTAGGCTTGATTAGTTTAGATCAATTTAGGGTGATTCCAAATTGATTGACTTATTCAAGTTAGTTTAACCTAAATTGAACCTAATCTAATCCAAATTATACTAGTCTAGGGTGGTTCCAGACCAGTTAAATAAGGATTAGAGATCGGTTCAGTTAGGTCCTAGTAAATTGAGTTCAATTGGATCAATTGAACTAGAGTTCAAGTCAATTGAGGGCTAATTTGTATTATTTGGTATTGATGATATTTGAAAGAAATGTTTAAATGTGTTATTTCATCCCTATATGGACATGACTAGTGTGAGATTATGTTATTTCCCTACCAAGGGCAGGTAGGGCGATTCCCTTTGGGGATTAGCGGGCCATCAGATGTGGTGGCTGGACGGTTCCTCCATCCGCTGTTGGGAGGAACGTGTCCCCACTTTGGCGGGTGTGGGACACCACTCCATCCGCTGTTGGGAGAACACAAACTCATCCCGTAGGATAAAGCCTCTCCATCCGCTGTTAGGGGAGTGCTCCTTCGGGTATTTGATATACGCCAATGGGATGATTGATTGAATTTTGATCATGTATTCATTTTGATTTAACTTTTGGGGTTCCTACTCAGCGTTGCTGAATTTTCTTTGTTTTTGATTTTCAGAGCAGCCTCCCTCTAGTACTAAGTCGGATTCCAGTGGAGAGCGGATCTTCCTCTACCGCTAGGTAGAGCCACTTGGATGATTTTTGAAGTTAACATCACTATGTTTACTTTTTTATTTATGATTCGATGAATAAATGGATTGTAATAAATAAATTATAATAAATATTTATAGATGATGAATAAAGTAATGTTTATCTATTTGGCCTAAATGTGTGGGAAGATAAAAAATCAGGATGTAACATATAGGTTGATAAACAACAAGATCTCACCCAATCCAAAAAGGTATTTGTCTTTGATTGGAGGATTCAGTTTCTTAGGTTGTGATGTTTTCCGGTCTTGGATGCCTCTACTGTTCTATGGTGTGGATCACATGCTAGTAACAAGAAACTACTTCAACTGTATTTATATGACTGCATGTAATGCTTTGAAATACTTGTTGTGTGCCCACAAACATATAATTTATTACATGTAATGTGACAAAATGTGCCTAATCTTCTTCTCAGCTCATAGTCTCTTCTTCCTTGATGATTGATGGAAGACTAAATTGTGGACCTGTCTCTTGTCTTTGCAGCCATCACCTCTGACTCCATTTCCACCTTAAGTCAACATCCAACAACTTTGACTCCAATCTGACCTCATTTCCACACCTGCCACCTCCTCTTGTTTTAGACAATGTTTTTTTAGTGTCTCTCTTGCACCATTCTAGCTAAACGTATCTCTCAACAAGCTCTTAAAGAAACTGCCACACAGATAATTTAAGAAGGTATAGTAATCATTATTTTGTATGATTCTCCACATTATTTGTTATGAATGCTTAACCCAAATGTTCCAAGAGTACATCTTAACCAAACACTCTCAAAGAGATGCTCTACATATGGATTGTTCAGCCTCCTCATCTCCTCGTACTGAACTCAAAATCTTCAGAAGTTGCAGCTCTTTCTATAGAGTCAGAAAGAGATGAATCTTTTCAGAAGCTATTCCTACACAAGGTTGGAGAAGGAAGACCCTGATGAGAGGCAGCACAGGAGGGCACAGTTCTTGATCTACAAGGTCTTGAAGCAAGCAGAATGCCGGAGGAGGCAATCACTTCCAAGAATGGTGATCTCCAGGTTTAAGATCAAGGTTGGGCCTCGGCTGAAGAAGCTGCGAAGGAGTGGAGTTTGTGTTAATGAGAAGTTCATGAAGCAACTCAAGCATTGGAAGCAGGCAGTGGCTCTCATTCCTGTGTTTAGTTGAAGGAGCTGCTTCATACTTTTCCTTTGTCTTCTGTTCTTCTCCTTCACCTACCACTGGAACTGGACACATGTTCTCTTTGTTTTTCTTGATGATGATTATTGAACTGAGAAGAAATAAACATTTCTAGTTTCAAGTATCATGAAATGCTATATTTTCTCTGAGCTACTAAACACTAGCATGTTGCACTATAAGCCTAAATTCCTAATCAGATATCCTGTTTCTCCAGAATATTGTAGAAGATTTAGTGTGTCAGATAATTAAATGAGTAATAATGACATGAGTATATCTTGGAGAAGTTCATTATATTCAATAATTACCTGATATGCTTATCATATGATTCTATATAATGGCTTACTCATTGCTGCATGATAGTTTTCTGTTAGCATTTCCCATAATTCCCACACTGAATAGAGAATTGAATTTATACTTTGTGATGAAGAGCAAGACAAATTATGTGGATTTTCTCTCATGCCAGATATCCTCTACATCTAAAGTTGTAAAAGATCTCTGCAACTTCATCAATTGGCAGCTTCTTTTCATCCTTTTTTCTCATAGTAATGTATCTTATGTTACTGAAAACCATCTTCCCCTTTTGAATGAGGCCAAATATGGAAGTGCAGTCCATCAAATAAGACATCGATGTGCGTAGGCTGAGAGGATTTGAACAACCTACTTTCAAATTCATTTATATTGCACAGTCTCATATACAAGGCTGGTTTGGTAGAATGTATAAGGATTCCACAAATCATCACTATAGCTTATGGGCTGGCAATTCTCGTGGCACTAAAATATCTAGGTCACATATCAATGTTCAAGTTCCAAACAATATAAGAGATAACATATCAAATATAAAGTCTCAAGTATTGAAGAAAGCGATTTACTTGCAACGAAGTCACAGTCCACCAGGTACTTTGAAAAATCTGCTGATCTGATGATAGTTCAAAATCCTACTCTGCTAAAAGAAGCGTTATCTATTATTTTTGAAGTGGAACAAAAGTATATAAAAAAAAATCGATGCTTGACTTGAAGAATGTTCAGGTGACAGAATTTTCTGATCTTATTTTCTTGGCATAATTCATGAAAATAAAAGCAAATGCTGGAGCCAGAGTGCAGGCAAGTGGCAATACTACAGATTAAAGAAGGAACATCTGGAATAGGTAAAAGACTGTGTCATCAGAAATGAGATCTTTTCAAAAATGACAAAGGAAGAGAAATATTTTACCACCCAGCTAAATTCTGTTAGTTTCTTCGTCTGAGAAGGATTCTAGTTTCTCTATCTTATACAAATTCATGCTTATTGATTCTGCTTATTTTGCTCTTGCAGATGAAACCAAATATTTGAAATAAAGGTATTTGTGGACTCATTTTTATGATCTCATGTTAGATGGATAGAATATTGATTTGATTGACTAAAAGCTAAAAAGAATTAATCACTAACTCTGGATACGCTTGATATCAGATAATCTTAGTTCCATAGGCTTTAAAAGTTTTCAGAAGGAGGGACTGAACTCTTACCTTAAGGATTTCCAGAGAGGTAAGTTTGGATTTTAGGACAAGTTTCCTACTTCGGAACCTGATTCTGTAAACTAGTTTGCATCATGTACATCCTCATATGATTAATTCTAGTAAGATCCTGCCTTGTAGATAGCATTCTTGCCTATTGGTACATTGTTTTCATCAATCAATTAGCAAAGGTGGATTTTAAAACCTTTTGACTTTGGGATAGTGTTGATGTATGCTTGGAGAACTAGTCACCAAGAAATCCATGCTTATCTTCTTTCGATAAGATATGGATGTATGGCTTATGGACCATATTACTTGCCAACATCTGATGATGTGGACATAACCAAGTTTATTCATATCTACTATGGTGTTGTTCAGCATTGACACATAGGATGATACCTTTTCAGCCCATACACTAAATATGATTATCTGAGCCACAAGGTTTAGATAATAATTCTTTGTATCAGTGGATGCAATGCATCAGATTTGTGGTTCTCAAAATTGTTGCGACTGTTCTTTCTAACAGATACTCTCATGCAATAATCTATGATTATGAATACAAGTAAAGATATTCACAAAAATTGTATGAAATGGTTCATTGCTTTCATCAGGTCTTTTGTTTATTATCTCTTGCTCAGATTGCAAATTGATCATCTATTATGCGTCTACATGCTTTTATAAGTTCTTGTATAAAGAAATTCGAACCAGCAATGTAAATGCATGATTTTATTGAATATAAGAAAGTTATGAGTGTCTTTCTACTGCTCTGAAAGACCATTCTGTAAGAAGTTAGCTAGTTCTGGTAAAATACATGAATACAGACATGATAGGAAGTGCTACTGTAACTCTAAACCTGACTTGAATTCTTTTACATGGTATTCTAGTGAGAGTTTCACAAGTTAATTTGTCGTCTTATGCAAGTCAAACATATCTCATCAAATTCAATATGAGGCATACAGTTTTCTCAGGTTTTGGTAAGAAATCATGGTCTTAAACAGAGCAGATTTGGTAGAATTGTTCATAATAAATTGTAGCATTGTGTGTCTTTATTATATATAAGCAGTTAACCAAGTTTGGCACACAGCTAGATTGTGCATTTCTGAAGTTTTATTTTACTTGTGATAGAAGACTTGGAAGAATTTGATGCAGTAGCAACAGCTAGTAATTAAATCGATCACTAAAGTGAATTCTTCTAATATTCTTTTTGACGAAATCTTCAGCTATTCCATAACAAGGACATCTAAACAAAGCCCGGTCATTTGTACATACATTGCTTCTTTCAGAATATATATTTCAATAGTTTGCAGCTTTCTATATATTATCCTAAGAGTGCATATATAAATTCTCTGTTGATCCTGTATTTGAAACAGCCTCAGTCAATAAGTCACCATTTTACCTCACTCAGTAACTTTGGATTTGCACAAACCTGTGAAATGTAGTAGCTGAAATTGTCTCCTGGTGGTGTTCTGAGAGACAAAACAAAACTGTATTTTCATTTTCAGCATGTATTAATTGCCTTCTTCTCTTCAGAACTATGAATGTAGTAATGAAAAAGGCTTCTTGTAAGTGCCATGCATGACACTACAAAATATAAGCAATGAGATAGACTTGTTATGACCCCATTAAATCATATACCCCCCCCAAAGGTATGTATATATTCAAATTAGGAGGGATGAATCATCCTGAAAAACTACATTAAATATTCTTGACTTTTTTAGGAGGCTTACTTAATAAACAAAACCTGATGTTCTTGAATTTTTTTTTTCTAGGGATTTCTCATCATTTGTGGATGCTACACATCATGTTTTGTTTATTAAGTAAGCCTCCTAATGGTCCAACCTTTGCTTTTTCTTCTTCAGCCTATCAGGGTATTATAATCTGTTCAAAGTGGGTGCCATGAGTAAGAAGAATGAGTCTCATACAAAATGCCTATATCCATTAGAGGTGGAGCACTAACTCCCCATTCCCCCTCTCTATAACATAGCTGTACCCACAAATGACAAAATGGAGCCACTATAGTAATGCCATCTTGTTGCTTGTGGCCAAAATATTCACAGTCCCCACATCTTGTTGACTTCTGTGAGTAGCAAAAGAGGCCACTTCCTCCCCCCCACACAAACCTACAACTATTTTGTAGCATTAGTTCCAACTATTTCAACCATAAATTTGCAGTGGTTGACTATGTTATATTAGATCTAACCTTGTGGGAGCTGGGATTCAAATCACATCATAAAAAATGTTCATACAAACAAAAGTTTATGTAGATCTGTTGAGTAACTTGAGTTCCACTTTTTGTACCTTCCAAAGAAGATTAAGTGACTGCATATATATTTCTTGTTCAAATTCCCGGTGGTCAACTCTAACAAGAAATTTTTGTAGCTTACAAAATTTGATGAAGAATAAGGATGTCTGTAACACTCCAATTTTCATTGGAGAAAGTTGTTGAAAAATAGATGAGTACCAAGTCTTTTGTCTCCTAAAGTTAATAATAATAAAAAAGAATTCAAGTCAGAGATCTGCTGGTTGTAGTAGTTCACATATTAAACTTGATCAGACAATAGCTCAACTGAGTCAAACAGCCTAAATATGACATTCATATTTAACTCAAATTAATGTTGTGGCATGGAATTTAATTAACTATATGATGGACATGACCATTCCTTTCTTTTCTTACAATATTCAGTAAATTAATCAAACTGTCATTTTAGTTCATTCTGCTCTCCAGTCTTCATTTAATATGGTCCGCTCATTCAGCTCAATCCTGTGTTATGTGGGTAGAAGATCCACATTGAATATTTAATGTAGTTTACTGAATCAAAGATCATTGGTACCACATAAATGCCAAGTCCTTCATCTCCTCCTGAAGTTGAAAGGAAAAGAAGAAATCCAAGGCACAACTGATCAACAAATCCTAGTACTTCACATTGAACTTGATCAAATCAAAACCCAACTAGATAAATTTTCTCAGTTAAATTCACTATTTGGATTTGGACTGCCAAGCAAAAGCTGGTGAGGAGAAAGCCAATTAAGTTGCCATGTTCATCTTAGCTGCCAACTGTACCAGCTTAAAGGGCACATCTCCAGCTTCCAAAGAAGCTTCAGTTGGCTTCAGCCAACAACTCTTCCTGGTCGTAAAATTCAACCAAATTCTGTATAATTGCACTTGGAAATTAGATTACATGATGTCAGGATCTGGCAGCGTATCACTCGTTTTGCTACTTAATACTATCTATCTCTAATTTGATGCACAGAGATCAGAAACAGAGAGAAGTAAAACATGTAGCAAAGTGCAGATATATACAACTGATATGAACACAGCAGAACTCCCAAAGAAACAAAAATCCTTCTACCACCCTTTCTTCTCCTATTTTACATCATCCCAATCTACAAATCCTACAAACAAGTCTGAAATGGATAAATAGGGATAAAGGGATAGCATCTCATCTGTTGTAATACAAACAAACACATGATCATCACCATCATACATCACTCGGGCATCTCAGGTATGCTCTGTAGCCTCGGCCTCCAATGCGTCTCTTGGTCATGGAGCTTCCCAGGCTCGTGCATACTTACGAGGCCCGCAAGAACTTCTCGAAGCGGCAAGCCATTGCCGTCGTCCTGTCGCAGCAGCTCCTCCAGCTGCTTCTTGCTGATCTTGATCCTCACCTCGGTCGAACGCCCGCAGCCTCCTTTCTCCTTGACAGGCGCCATGAAAACTTCGCCATGATCCTTCTTGTTATGCTCCATGGATTCCCAGAAGTCATCGTCGTCGTCGACCCATGTAACCGGCTTCTGCAACTTGATACAGTTCCCCATCTCTCTCTCTCTCCCCTCGCTCTCGTCGCAGAACGAGATTGAATGCTCTTCCTTCTTTTCTCCTTATTCTTGATCGCGTTTTCTTGTGTTGGAATTGATGTCGATGGTAGAATAGTGTTTGGAAGGATAAGAACAGCCGAACGGATACATATTTATAGACGCGGAGAGGGTCGAGATCTCATTTTTGATGGTGGATGAAAGCGGAAGGGGGAAGGAAGGATCGCAGGCACAAATCCAGCCCAGAGACGGAAATGACACCTACAGACGTCACGCGAAGTCCCACGCTGCTACGCCGAGCGGGGAGTCAGGTCAGGCGGGCCCACCTGTTGTGCCGCGTCGATGGCGGCGGGGCCCAGACAACAGAGACCGATACGGTGTGAACGGGCAGCGGCTGGGAATCTTCTTGTTGGATCTCGTAATCGCTCGTGTGAACGCGACTTTTCGCGGAATCTAACCATTAGGACAAATCTACCCCGTCCTCTCACGTGCCTTGCACGTGTCTCGAGATCGAAAGCACTCCACCCCACTGATGAACGATAGGACAAAAAAGGTCTCTAATTTCAGGTTTTCCGATAGTTCATCTTTAAATGCAGATAAATTTTAGCACTTAGATATCTAACGCAGTTATTGTTTTCCTGAATGTCAACTTCTTAAGTCAATCTTGCATGTCATCCAGATCATCAGCAATGCACAGTGCACAAAAGAACATTACCAAGCAAAAGATGTTGCTTACCGAGTTTGATCCTTCTATAGTAGCATGTGGCATTGATTCTAAGATGCAGCCATTGTTTGTCTGCTTGAGTTGTCATCAGAACAGCTTATTATCTTCTTAGTGGCCTACACATTAACTGGGAGAAAGTTTTCATTCTGATTCCTGGGAAGCTATGACCATATCACCTAGAGAGAATTAGGAGGGGAACATAACTTGAAACCTCATCAGGATTGCTACAACTAAATGATGCATGTATCTCGATGACATGAGCAATGTGATTGACACTCAGAAGCTTCGTTGCACTTGCTTTGTCTTTCTGAATGCTCTCTGCGATGATAGCACCCACCTGTATGTTGTACCAACTGAAAATAGCAGAAGGCAAGTCTCATTCAAGGTGAGCTTTTGCAAAACCATGTCCATCATAAAGAAAAGGTCAAGTTGGAGATGGTGTGTGCAGAATGGCCACCACTGACAGTAATGTTGTCCAGGAATTTATATGGATTGAAGTGACTTCTTGATCAGGATTGGCATCAACCATGTAAGCCTTTGGTGGAGATGACATAGATATTGACACATATTGCCTATGTTGAGCTCCATAAGTTGCTGAACATTTGCTGTAAAAACAGCAAAGTGCTAAGTCATAAGACATTGACATCTTGATTAGTTGTAATATACTACTATTTAGCTTATCCATAATTCTTTTCTTTTATCCCTTTTCCTTTATTGCAAGAGGAAGAAGAGTATAACAAGTAGGTGTGTGCATGCCACCTGGAGTGCCAATCTTGATGATCATGAACTATATCAGCATTTGTATCATAGAAAAGAAAGTTCATTGTTATGCCTTCTTTGACCAGACTAGAAATAGTAATTCTGATTCTTTCTATAACTTTGACTCTTTCATTCATCTGAATTTAATGCATATTTGATGTATTGTCAGCAGTCAGCACTGCATTTAAATCACCCCATTTGAAAGGAGAGCTTGCCAAAACATTTAAATAGATAGGACAAAGATTACTCTTCTTTTTTTCTTCTTGGTTTGCTGCATGTATGATTCTTCAATTGATTCGAGCAAATGCTCACTGTACAACCTCGTTTAACATCCCTGGTATCAGTTCATTTGATGGTTCATGGAGGAAAGTTGGGTTCTCAACAAGTTTGCTGAGAGTTTCCTAGCCTAATTTAGTTCATCCAAGTGTGTAAAAAGAGCCATGGAAGGTGTCTTCCTTCTGGTGAAGTATGAGCATAGCATGCCTTTAGAATCCTTCATCGATTCGTACTGTTCATGTACTTTTACCAAGTCAATAGTGTTCTAACTTCCAAGCATTTGCCATCATCATGGTAGATTAGGGTGGCAAAAGACAGATGAGAAAATCTTCATTTCTTCACAAAGCTCCCTTGGCTAACCTTTGATATTTTTCCATGGATCCTTCACCAAATCTCTGAGCAATTCGAAGCGTTTAAATAAGGAGGCAAAGCATGAGAATGCATGACAAGTGTGTCTGATCATTATAAAACCGATGATTAATACTCCAATTGAAAACCCGGAAGAATGTTACCGAATAGGCAACAGTTTCTATGGATTTGATGTGCAGTCCTATCAAAGTGGAACAGGATTTGGTAGATGAGATCTAAAACATGAGTAATGTCCATTGACAAATGAGTGTGAAGTTGTTAGATATTCTTTTTCTTTTCTCTATCTTTTATGTTCAGTGGTTACCAAATCTGCAAGATATGTATGCATGCTGATTAATAAACAAGTTGGGAGGAGAAGCAAAAGAATGGCTTTCTTAAAAAGCTCAGTAGTTGTCCTGGAGATTGATGAGTCCAAAATATATGCATAGCTTGGAATTGTATGCTGGTTGATGTGGACTCCTTACAAAGATGTATCTGATGTATTTGGTAACAACATGAACATAATATTGCTTTGGAAAAAAATGGTAATTGCTACTTGGAAGAGGTCAAGAAGCAAAGGCTTAAAGCACATGTATTTTGCTGACCAACAAAATCTGCCACCAAAAAAAAGTGTCATATATCATAAAACATTAAGGATAGTGGTTGGTGACACAGAAATAGCTGATAGAGAAATTATGAGACAAATCTTTGCATCAACTAATGAGTTGCTCCCTTTCCATTAACAAAATCTATGCATCCCAAATGACAAACTCACAATCATCTTCTATATCTATGGCTGACTTAGCTATGTTATTGTGTTAGTTCCTGTGTTCTCTCTCATAGGTTTCTCATCTTACTGCAGAAGCAAGTACCAGAATCCATATTTAAGCATTAAGTGACATTGTACCTACAAAGATTATGAAAGTCTAAATTATGATTTGTAAGTCTGGTATTTTATCAAGGACAGTGTTGCTCTACTCTGAAATTAAGCTACTTAAGAACAACTATAATCTAGATTTCAGATTGTGTCAATGCATGATGAGGAAAATTTTTTTCAACTGATTCAGTGCATATTAATTAGCAGTGTATCAGATAATGATGACACCTAATTATGCCAGTAATTAGGTCACACAGATTAAAACAAATTGACCAGGTCTTTGAAGAATCTGACCCATTCTAAGTCTCAACTCAGACAATAATACATGCTAAGACAAGACCAATTCAAAAGGGGACCTACAGGAATCAGAAAAGAAGGGGGTTTGTTCAGTGTAGAAATAGCTTCAGAAAGGAATCTGGTCATCTAAACTAGTGTGAAAAGCTCTGTTACTCAGAATCTATCCCCAGTCTTGTGCTAGTCCAAGTGATACATCCAATACCATGCTCACCTACTCTCTTAATATTATAAGAGATAAAATATAGCTCATCAATGTTGGGTATACTCCAAGTCTAAGTTGGCAACTTTTCAGTAAACTCTCTTCTTATCCATGTCAGGATGCATCAAAAGGAGTTGTGTTGTCCTCTCCAAAGTGGTGGAAAGGTAAGCTGAACAGTCAGCAATGGCATGTAATCTGAAGAACAAGGTTGACCATGAGCAGTCCATGCAGGAACTTTCTACTTCCATTTTAAGTAACTCCAGCAAAGAAGACTTTACAGGTCCTTTGAATATTTTCCATGGAACTGCATGGCTTTGCTGGAGACAGACCTCAACCTTGTGATGATTAGTTGATCCGGACCAAACTCTCTCTCTCAAACTTCAATGATTTAGATGCAGTTGTATGGTTCTCACATTCTGCTAAAATCACTTGGGAAAATGGTTTCACAGAATAAAAAAAGAAATGCTTAAGGTATTGGACTGCAGTAGCACCCAAGTACTCTAATTATGCTTTGGACTGTTGAGAAGACACTGCCTCCAAAAGTCTCGCCTTAATATTTGGTATCAGAATCCACAGTTTGATATGGGCTTAATCAGTAGTAGATGTCATATGGACTTTCTTGTTGTTACAGTATATGTTTATGCAAGTGTATTATATTAAATAACTCTCAAGCAATGATAATTAGACAATGAAGATAAAAATGGATGAGGGCCTCTGATTTTTCATATTGTAACGGTACAGATTAATAAGCCCTAAAACAAAGTTATCTTATAATCCCAGAGGCTTACTGCTCTTGGAACCAAATTACTGCTTCAGAAAATATCCAATTTTTGGTATCAAGGAAACATGAAGTATAAGATCTCAATAAATATTTTGTGGTTTATTATCTTCTTGGAGGGAAAGGAAAAAGAAGGTAGCAAATTTCAGAGATGAAGTTGGAGTAGGTCTGTCAAGATGTCGAATAAGCCGATCGATATCCAAAGTTTCAGATATCGGTAGGTGTCATAATCCATTAATACCTCAACTGTATCTGTTTATGATCATATCAGTTTAAGTAATATATGCCATAGTTTTAAATCTGATAACCTGCCATACTATTCCCTGGACCAGACTTGTATGGATCAGTGTTTACCGATAAACTAACACATAGTATATGGGAAGGGAAAAAGAGGAGAGGAAGAGCAAAACACAATGTATAACACCATTTCTTTGGAGCACAGTTCTGGAGTCCTTAAGAGGCATTCTTCCACACTAAACACAAGGCACTGTTGGCACCTGAAATCTTGTCGATGTCTTCCATGATTCCAGCATTCGAGTAAGTATTATGATAATGCTGTAACTACGGATGTGTCCGGTATTGCATTTATCCTTAGCATCAGCTGACCTGCTTAATGACATGAGTTTACCTGTCCACTGAGGAAACAAAACATCCAGTCTCCTTCAACCAACCAAATTATCATTTTTACACACATCCTATGCTTCTTAGGAGATACACCAGCTTAACATGTAACAGCCAAAAAAGAAAGGTGCATGAGAAATTGAATTATATTTGTTGTCTGTCTCAAAAGTAAAAGTTTGACTTCATCCAAGAAAAGTTGACCGTACACCTTTCTTATAAGTAGCATCAAAGTATTCAGAAATATCGACCAACATTCATGGTCATATTAGAGTTTTGACGTACGAGGTATGATTCTAGCAGCACTAGAGGGTAGCAATGCACTCGATCTCAATCCTAGCATTCATAGGTAACGCTGCTACTTGGTAAGTGGAGCGTGCAGGTGCAGGAGATGGGAAATCTGCAGCAGAAGTACATATTGAGCAAGCTTCTCTCTATCCAAACGAAAGACACAAGTACATCCTAGCTTTATGACAATATACAAGAAATTGAAGAGAAGGGAAAAGAAAATTCTAAATGCATATTTGATCATTACCAGAGAAATACATGATTAAACTTTATTGACCTTTTCAGAAGATGTACTATAATTTACAGGGCAACGACATCAGAAAGGCTTGAAACCACCTAGTACAGGATTTTGTTTGAGAACATGGAAGCCAAAACACAAGAAAATTGATCTTCCAATCTACATACATTTTGATGAAAAATTCTTAACTTGCAAAAAACCATATGATTGTCAAGAAAACAAATGTCTAACAGAAATACCACCGTAGTTACTCCAATTCATTAGCGTAAGCTGGAAATGAATTTCATGAAAAAAGCATATGTTTTAGCAAAAAACCAGGCTAGTTACTTAATCCAGTAACAAGAGATTGTTGCTATTGTAACCATGATAATCAGTGAAGAAACAAATAATGCAGAACAATTTGAAATGGACTGTTCGATAAGGAAGTCTGGAACCAAGACCTTTAAATTCGATGAAAAATAATCCATGTCAAAAGACAGATAGGTCATCAGAAACTCACATTTTGCATATATCTCATTTACTTTTTTGAAATCCTGTAGGTCTGCCAACCTGCAAGCATAAAGATGACAAGGTTAATAGATAATATAATGAAGTTTCACAAATCAAGTTGATGAAACAAATCCATTTGGTACATGATTGTTGTCTTAACAACAGAAGCATAGGTTGCACCACTTGCTTTTAATATCTCTCCCATGTTCTTTAGAACCTGCAATTTGAAACTCAAAAACATACCAAAGATGAGATGAAATTAATTTAAAGTAGAGCCACAAAAGCATAGCATAAGGTGCATAAAATGGCTGGGTTTATTTTATTGGAATCTAAAGAATGTAGGTATAGCATAATACAGGACATGCATATTCTAGAACCATACTGAAAAAAGATGGCTCAATTCAAGAGACGATTGCTAGTGTAGGGTCCATAGAAGAGCAATGCAAGCAACCTTACCCCTACAAGTCGATAGATTATTTTTGTAACTCGAGCTTGGACATCCAAGTTGTGACTGAGGAACCTCATTATAAGAAGGCTCATCCTCCATACAACTATAACAACTTATCCAAACTGTCATGCAAAATCCAAAGATGTCTTTACAAAAAAGCAAAAAATGGAACAGTTCAGTTACATAAAAGAGCCATATAATTCATGCTATAGATTGAGGGGACGTATTCATGATCTCTGAATGGTACAAATGATTATGAAACCAACTATAGGAGCTGCAGAGGAATGAAAAGCTATTTAACCATCGACTTAGCAGAGATCGTTAACTTTTGAAGACCAGTTTTGCAGGTAAAAATTTAGTCAGAAAGCCATCTCTGCTATAATTTTTGTTCTCTCCAGCTATCATTGTTCTCTCAGTATTAAGAAGTAAACCAAAATCTGAACCGACAAGCATTATTTGTCATCATGTCTAACTTCAGAATTGCCCTGTTGTTCCCTGATCCCCAGAGATTCCATTGATAAGCACATACAAGCAAGCTGATGGATATACTTCCTTTTTGCAGAAGACAAGGTGGACACTCCATGAAGATCTGTGACATCACTAAAATCATAATGAATCTGAGAAGACCCATCTTCCAGTTCTAGGCACTTTTTAAGGGTAACTTATGGTCACTATAGAATTAATCAGATGACAAGTGTGGAAGGATTCAATCAGATGGAACAGAGTTAAGTAAATAAGTGCACTGCCTATAAAAATGAATCTGCGAATTGGTGCCATTAGTAAAGGAACATTTCAGATGAAAGAAAACAGTAATTGGGTGATTCATTAGAAAGCTACAAAGCATGACACTTCTAGAAACTCGTGTCCAAATCAGATTTTCACTCTTGTTGGATGTTTCTTAATATTTAAATATTTAAAGATAAAACTGTGAACATTGACCCTCCCAAGACTCCACATTAGCAGGAGCCTCGTGCACTAGATATGCTGTTGGATATTTCCTAATACATGCCAGACAATTCAAAATATATTAGGACTGTTGTACCATTAACACATGTCACTGGTGTATACATATTGGATGTTTGTATCATCTATTCTTGGTTGAAAATTTCATAAACACATCAGATTCACAAAACAGGCATGAAATGTAGTTCATATTCTGAAAATAAGCACAAAATGAATATATGCAATTAAATATATCAATCAGCAAGACAATTTACTGAAATTATATTAGGAAAATATTTCCAACAGTGCACATGAAATATTAGCAGCTTTGGAAAATTGCTGCAACTAGCCTCCAAATTGTTAACAAATTAAACTACCTGCTCTGTTTGCTCCTCAATGTTGTTGGAGACAAATTTTCCTGTCTGCAAAAAGATGGCCAAATAATAATGATGTGGAAAAGTAAAGAGAGTGTTGCAAGATAGTCAATATGAAGCAAAACCGAAGGGGAAAGAAATGAGAAAATTACAACAAACCTCAGGAACAAGACCGAGAACACCAGAAACAAAAACAAGGTTGTTGACTTTGATAGCTTGAGAATATGGCCCCAATGCTGCCGGTGCCTTTTCTGTCTGAACAGCCTCCTTTTTAACTATTGTGAAAGAAATAAATCATATTTAGTGCTACTCAAAATTAATCATGCATTTCATAAAATAGATGTAAAACATTAAAAGAAAAAAGTTCAAATCATCAAAATATTTATTTCAGTAACATGAAAGTAAAACATGTAGTGCGATGAATGCAACAAAATTATGGTAACACTCAGCAAGGATTTAAATGCTGGTCCAATATCTGGTTCGTTATCCTATCAGCAACCAACCTATACTGATCATTATCATAAAATAAAATAATAAAGAAATAAAAATGAACATACATTTACGATATGGAGTTATAATGTTTTGATACAAATGCTTGATTGGATCAGTAAATAATGGTTGATAAGAACTGGTCCACTCAATATTTAAATCCTTGTTAAATATGAATTATTTCTCTTGGTTTTTCCACAAAAATACAACTGAATTTATGATGTTCAAAATGATAAACAAAGTCAAAATTTTGATTCTCAGCTCTAAAAGTTAGATAACACGTACATAGTTGATATTACTTTCTCGATTATCAAATTTTTGTCAGTTTCATACGTTATTACTCTACAATTTATTATTTTAAATATTTCTTGTAAAAAATTATTAGGTTAAAATCATGTTATTCAAAACAAAAATTAACATCATGACTCAAATAATTGCAGTTTTTACCAAATGCTACTTGGAATCATTTTATCCAATTTTGTACGGTTGGCTTTCACTCCAAAGTATCACATAAAGAAACTCTCTCTATTTAACTTTACATATTTGACAAGGTCTTGGTACGTTTCTTCATTTACAGAAATGTGAATGATCATTGCCAAATAGAGACATACAATCATCAACATCTTAAATGAACTTTTACTATCAAGAAACCTTTTATGTCAAAATGACTTGATGAAATTCGAGTATATGGGTCAATCGCAAGAAAAGAGTTTGAAAGAACGAAGACATTATTTTTGTTTATATTTATCAATTTATTTTTTGCACATTCAAGCAAACATGTGATGTGGAAACATACATTTCGGCGGCATCATAAACAAAACCAATAATAAATGACTCACAATTATCTTATCTTCACTCTAGAGAAAAACTAGGATCCCGATTCCAATAAATCATATGTAGGCGACAGAATCCAAAGACAGTCTTGAAATTCATAAACATACCCAGACGAAGACCAAGAAAAAAGCTATTAGAGGAAGGGTGGGGGAGGACGCTACCGGCGGTGGGGGAGGCGGAGGCGGAGATGGAGGCGAAGATGGGCCTGAAGGGGGTAGAGGACCAGAGGCGGGAGGCGGCTACGGAGGCGCAGCAGAGGGCAGCGGCGAGAGGCCCCCGCGCTCGCAGCACCCGGAGGTCGATCGTCGGCGCTCCCGCGGACCACGCAGCGCTCCACGCCATCTCTCTCTCCTTGCTCAGTCCAATAACACAGTTACAGCGTTGGTAGGGTGAAACCAGCCCAGGGGCGACTCACCTCACCCATTCATCCGAGTCACCAGCGAAGAACTAAAAGTCTTACCCTGAAATGTTTCAGGCCTGACTCATCCCTCCCCAGCAATATACACCATGAATGCCCACACGGCATGATAGTTTTGAGATATTTTATATAGATGATGAACTTTAGAGTAGCCACAGTCGATTTTGATTTTTCAAAACAAATAATTAGAACCGTCAATTTTGATTTCAGTTCAGATCACTATTTTTTTATTTTTTTTTAAAATAATTTAAAATATAAAAAATATAATTTTTTTTAAATTAAAAAAATAGATTATAACTATAATAAGTGTAATGATATTTAAAAAATGACATAACAAAGTAAAATTATAAATCTTTTAATAAAGCTAAATACTCCATCAAGATTCAAACCAAATTTATAGATTTTAAATCATAATATTTAAGCATTATGCCTACATCTTATTTATGTTTTATTTTTTATTTTTTGTTATCAGATTTAGCCAGTTTAAAATTAGAACCGAACCATCTAGGATTGATTTCAAGTTGGTTTGAAACTATTGAGCTAATTCTGATTCAAATCTAATCATGGTTAGAACAACATAAAAAAGATTATTTTGACCCACATTGAGTTGGATTGTTCTGATCAATGCGTCCACTAGTTGAAGAACAAGCGACTTATAGATGTCTAATTCATGATCATATTCTATTTTATGGGAAAAAAAATTACGTTAGCTTACCATTAGTGCAACGTTAAGATCTATTATCGATCTTAAATTCCACGGCACTTGATTGGATCCGTTTAGGAAATTGATCATCTCCAACACATCCCTCCGATCTTATTACATATCAGAATGTGAATGTGTGAGTGAGTGAATGTGTGGGTAAGAAGGAGAGAGGGAGAGCAGACTGGCTTCACCAGCCTCAGTTTATCTCATATTCATCTCTTGAACCATATTAATACAACCATGAGAAACAAAGATGCATGTCAAAATTTCAACTTAAAACAACACTGATGCAGACTCACCTGAGTGTTCTTTGGTAACTCTCTTTTGATACCAAAAAAAAAAAAGAACAAATTGATAAAATTTTGAATCACTCCGCCAGTCAAATGATCAAACACATAACAGAACACAATTTAGAACGCAGTGTGATTCAACTCTGAAAAAGGCCACAAAGGAAACCGTGAGAATGATTTCTGAAGAAGTTGCATGTGAAACAAAAAACTAATGATTTCATGTTTTCTAACTTGTAAATTTAAGACAAGATAATTTTTAACAGAACAATCATGACACCAAATCAAGTCTTAACATTATTTGTCGGCAAAACTGCATTTATGGTTCTTGCTTTTCACAAACTTGTCAAAAAAAAAAAACAACAACAAAAGAATATTATAATTATATGACTATGCCATTTATATACAATTATATTAAAGCTTCAATGTTTTTTTTTCCATTCAGTAATACACAAGCTAACAGATTGCTCCCTCCCTACACCCCAAGACATCATTGCTTAATCTAATAATTCAACACCAGTCAGACTTGCTGTCATTTGTAAACAATCTTGAGAGGGGAGGATACACCAAACATTCAAGTTATTATCATATCCTCATGAAAACTAAATTAACTTTGAAATAGCTACTTATCTAATAACAAATATTTCATATACATTAATAACATCATGATAATTTATCATGTTAGTCTTGCAGGAGGACTAAGGAACATAAATAAAAAGAGAATAATAGCAACTTTAGAACTAAAAGAATATATCAAAACAGCTACTTATCTAATAATAATACAAAATTTGCCCTATTAATTTAGCATAAAATTGCCTTCAAGCTTTAAATTATGCTTAGCTATCTTCCAATGGAACTGACAACAGCCAGTTCCAATCATACACTCGCATGTGCACTTAACAACACAAACAACCACAATAAATGCATGAACCACTCTAAATACATTCCGAGTCTTTTAAATAGAACCAAAATAAATGCAGCATTCATGTTCTAAAAGGTCTCTTGGCCAAACTTTACATGCCACTATCAGCACATCTTCAGCTGCCTAGTAATGCATCCTATCATCTCTCTAGAAAAGAGAAACTTGGGCAAGTTTGTTTGTTTGCTATGTACTAAATATTCAAGTTCCTAAGAGCCCAGGTCAACAGCTGTACAAGAAATCTATAATACTTTCAGATGAAAATTCGCCAGGATAACAACACAAACCAAAATGAGTATGGCCAGTATACATATACCAAGGGTAGTCAGTACTCCCAAATGCATTCATCATGATCATCCATTTCTCCAGCTAGGTCCCTGCATTTTTCTTAATCCAGTCTACCAGGCGAACTGTCGAATAAAAATGGTACGGGAACTCCAATGGCTGTGTTCTTACATCATGTACAACTAATATGTAAGTGTTTTCAAAAAGAAAAGGTGCTCGAGTAACATATGGTTCAGTTCATCAATCTCATATTTACAAAGTTGCTGAGTCATAGCCTGCAGCTAAAGAAAATCCAAAAAAAAAGTATAATGCAGTCAAAGTGACCAACAGAATAAAATAATGGAGATGTAGGGAAGCAATTGACCATACAATTACAACCATGTGGCTTCACTTTCCAAGAAATGAAACCAAGCTCACAAGCATGATATCTACCGTCATTGCAAGCTAACTATTCTGGCTACAATTTGTGCACCAAAACAAACTAAGCATGAGACATCCATGTCGATTTGATGCAGTTAAAACATGTCCTGCAGACGAAAAGTATCTAGAGAATTATAAAATGAGTAACTATGTATTAGTTAAAGAAATCATACCACAAAAGAATGTCTTCATTAATAGGATTTAAGCCTATTCACATTAGCATTGAAAAGCACCAGACCTTAGATAATGTAGCAGGACAAAGAGGACTTGCAAATAATCAACTTGGAAATAGTAGATTCAGGCCTCGGATAGTGTAATGAATAGTGCTCTTAAAGGTGGAGTTTCCCAGAAAGAAAGATAAGGCACAATTACATTAATTCGTATCTGCTGCTAAACCCTGAAAGAATAATTCATATAGACCAATCATCAATTGAAAATTTGAATCACTTTAGTTTCAGCTGTATTCTCATGATCCAAAATATTTCAAGTTTATAACACTTCTAATGAAGACATAATTCTATGATGAGAAGAAAAAGTAGACATACTACAGCATCAAGAGTTTGGTCCTAAGTAATACTTGCCGTATAGCATGACCTATGTCATATGGTTGGAAGGATTTTGGTACGAAATAAAACTGATAAAACTGAAAAGTTCCCCTATCTCTCCAATTATGACAACACAAAAGGAGATCATTCAGCGAGCAGAAGTCTTAGATTTCTCCACCAGAACAATCCTGCCATTCCATTCAGTCTGATCAAGAGCACGTATGGCAGCATCAGCATCTTCATCCCTTTCTAAGGATAAAAATCCAAACCCACGAGAATCGCCTGACCTATATATATATATGACTATATAAGTATGTGAACTTTCAGAACAGAAAGGTAAAATAAACCCAGGAAAGATAGGACATCAAAAGAAAATTAGCTGCACAAACAAACCAATGTAACATTAAGATGCAGATTGCCTCTGTTGAGACATCTTGGTTTATTACACAATTAATTTATTGCAGGTCTCAAGTTCAAATTGATTGAGACTCGTTAGTGGTTAGTGTATTATTGACCAATTAATGGGTCTCAGATTTGAATCCATGTGAGAGTGTTTTATGCATCATTTAATGCAAATAAAAGAAAACTAACTTTTTAAATAAAAAATACAAATTCAACTCCAAAACTGAAGTTGCAAGAAAAAAGTAAAGAAGATATTTGGAAGTTAAAAACGCAGTTAGACCATATAGTACAAACTACAGTAACAGCTAGTAGAACTTAAGCTCTAAACTTATAGAAGAAAGAAAAACCAAAGCATACTCTTCTACATTTAACATATGATATTTTTTAGCCAGAGCCTACCTTCACTGAAAGAAATGGGAATGGTAGCAAGTAAAATTTATTTGCCCAATTGCAATCTGAAATTTCTCAACAACCGTGGTGGTAGATTCATTTAACTTTTAAATTTTTTGACACGTGTGTCTTTTCCCACTGCTATGTGCCAGAATGTTTGAAGTGTAAAGCAAGAAGCAACGTGTCACTCATAATTGATTGGACAGACTACCTTTCAGTATGTTTCAAAAGGCATTCACATAGATATAACATAATGCAACCGTGAAGCAATGATGCTCAAAACTAAAGTAGTAATTACAATGTATTTTGTGTCCTCTTCTGGAAGCCTAGCAATATCAACAAATTCTCCCAAGAAGAATGAAGTATGGAATTCCAAATGAAGCTTGTACTCTTAGCAAGTTCAAGCACCTTTCAACTGGTTTCCAATGAGCTGATTTTATTAATAAATTTAGCAGATAATATTTATTTTCCTACTGTTTTATAATTCTTTTGTAGATATAACCAAGTTCCTGCAGGCAAACACTGAGTGTGTCAGTTTAAATAAAGAAAAAGAATTGGTAAATCCTTGAATGCTATGTCAAGAATAATATAAAAAGGGGCTACTTTGGCATTTGCCTCAGGATAGGATCATGATTATCTGTGTGGAACTGTGGATGGCTCAAAAAGACAGATCAAGGCATACAATGCCAATGCATTGTTCTTTTCTTTTATAAATTATTTCTCAGATTGAATTCGAATGGCTCATCAAGGCATTGTTACAAATGATTATGTGCTCAAATAAAAGTGTACATCAGAAACCAGAGGCAACATAACTATATTCTCCAACAAAATTGGAGTATAACAAACTTTTGGATATAGTATTTTTGAGATGATTGTTGTCATCTTTACAAAAACTATAATACGAAAACTTGGATGTTCTGTATAACAAAATGATAATATGGACCAACTGCCCAGACATTCAGACTTCACTTCATTGTTTTACTGACAAGTCATTTTTATCTTAATTCTGTTCTGAAAGTACATTTCTCAAAGTAAAGCTAAATAATTGAACCGTCCCCTTTTACCAAATGAAATTGGAAAATTTTCTTTTAAAATGTTAAAAATGGGGCAGAAT